GGACCCCGAGAGGCCTTAAGCAGTGGTCTGTGGACAAGTGTGGGCTGTGCGACACACCAGACTTCGTTTACTAACGCACACTCTTGCTCTCCTCGTGCTAGGCTGTGGAGTGACTTGCCCAGGGTCATAGGTGTACCAGCGGCCAGCTGGGATCCGAGCCGGCTCCGGGCCCTAACCACTGGACGGCACTGCCTCCAGGACCAGGACTGTTCTGGGTGCTGCTGGGTGTTGTGCTTCCCCCCTGCCCCCCACCAGCCCTGGGGGTGCTCGTGAGCCAGAAGGCAGCTGGCCTGCTCCTGGGCTGATGAGGGAGTAGATCACACAGGGACCCAGGTTCCCCACCTCCCCACCTGGGCTCTTTCTGAGCCTCAGTTTCCTCACCTACAGTCGGGGCCACCGTTGGACTGTGGGGGGATTGCCCAAGGCAAGGCGTGCGGAGCGCCTGCCAGATAGTGAGTGCTCAGGAAACCTCCTAAACCCGCCAGAACTGAGCTGCAAGGGATAGAAACCTGGGCTCCGAGAGATCCTGGCTCCCATATCTGGGCCGAGCTGGGTGGGGGTGGGGGTGGGGCTGCTGGCCAAGTGGTCAGGCCTCTCCTGGGCGCCTCCTCAGACTTCTGTTGTGCTGGGACATGGCTCAGGCTACCACTGAGACAAGGCAGCCCTTGGAGCCCCCCAGCTCCCGAGGGTGGCGTGGTCAGGTAGGGCGCCTCTTCCTGAAGCCTCCCCTCAAGGGCTGGGCTGCTCTCAGGGCCCACCTGGGGCCACCTGCCCATCCTGGGCCCGTCCTGGTGGCGGGACCACAGGGATGCCATCTGCTGGTCGCTGGGCCTCCTGGGAGCCAGGGCTGGGGGCTGGGGGAGGGTGCCCTAGGAACTGATGTCACCGTTCTGGACCCCAGCAGGGCCACACCCTCCATGACAGCCACTCTTCCCCTGGGTGATTTCAGGACAGAAGTGCTCACTTTAAGGCAAAATTACTTACCTAATTAGGCGCCAGGGAACTGGCAGGAGGTGGTGGGGGTTTTGTTGATTTTTTTTTTCTAGACTTTTAGCACCGAAGCTGCGTGATAAAGTAACTGTGTAATTAGGGATTAATTTCTCACTCCTGAAACTGATGTCTTCTCAGGGCCTGAGGGGAGTCAGCCTGCTGGTTACTCACCCTGGTGGCCCTTCCTCCCCTGGTCTCTTGGAGTAGGGGTGGGACCCAGTGCCCACGGTGCTCCAACTGTCCTCAGGACACTGTGGGGGAGAGGAGTGCTTCCCCCCCAACCCCCGTGGCCTTTGCAAAACATGGGAGGTGTTATTTGTGCTGGATGAACTGATTCCCTGAGGGCCTACTGGGTGCCCGGCACCAGGTGGTCCTGGGGTGGTCAGGTCTGCAGGTGGCAGACATGCAGGGAGCCCAGGGGCAGCTGTCCCATGTCCCCTCACCCCATGCCCCAGGATGGTGCCCACCTCCTGCCTCAGTCCTGAGGACTTTCTCCAGCTCTATTGGAGCTGTCCCCTGTCCTGTCCCTCCAGCCAGTGGATGTGGCCCTAGCCTCTGCCTCCTAGGCTCCTGGACTGGATGGTGCTGGGCTGCTCACACCCTGGTGACCTGCTCATGGTTGTCCCCCCTCCCCCATGGAGGAGGCAGCCCTGGAGGAGGTTGGGGGCCAGGGGAAAGGCCCAGTCCCTTGGATGGGGCTGGAGGAGGCTGTGCGGGATGCTTGGCTGGCTCCGCCCAGCAGCCGGAGCCTGGGGCAGGAGCAGGGTTGGGGAGGTCTGGAGGGCTGTGGTCAGCACCCAGGACTGTTCGGAGGGCAGTGAGGGGCCATTCAGAATAGGGGAGCAGCACTGTCTGCTTCTCTCTTGCCACCCTTGTCCAACGGTCTCTCCCTGTCCTCTTCCCCTCCGAGAACGAGAACCGTAGCCACGCGGTGCGCCCACTGCTGCTTCTTGGTCACTGAGCGCATTTGTGCCCTGTCTCACTCCCCGGCAGGACACACTGCAGCCTAGCCCCAGTCAGGAGACAGGACCTAGGAGAGAGCTAGGCAAACGGATCCCCTGGAAGGATCCAGTGTCGAGGTCCTTCATGCTGCCAAGACCTCTGTGACCTCACATTTCCCCTTTTGGTGTGGCCACTGGGAAGCTCAGCGCTAAGATCTCCACACTGAATTCTAAAGAAATTTCCCTTGGTGGCCTTTCCTGGGGGACCCTGAGGGCTGCACTCATGTAGTCTGAGGGGAGCATGAAAGGTCCCCCACCTGCAGACCCGGTGCAGGGAGGGGGCGGGGCCACTCTGTAGTTCCAGGGCTGCCCCCCCACCTGTGCAGACTCAGGCCTTGGGCGTCTCCAGTGCCCTCCTAAAGGGTGACTGCTTCAGTTCCCCTTGGGGGTGGGGGTGATGCAGGGGGTTGCCCAGACAGTGGCCAAGAGCTCCTGAGTCTCATGAGCGCCCCTAGGTTTCCTCCAAGTGTGAGTTCAGACCCCAAAGTTAAAACTGGGCAGTTGACCTCAGGAGCTTAGGGCCAGGCTCTTCTCACTGTCCCTTGATTTGGAGAAGCTGGGAAAGCCAGAGAACAGGAGTTCTCAGAGAGGCCTCAATGGCGCCGGGCCTCCTGGTCCCTCACCTACCTGGGACCGGGAGTGGTCTGCAGCTGAGTTTAACTGAGAGTCCACTGTCCTCGGGGTGTGGGGCGGACGTGCGCAGGAGTCCTGGTTGCCTGGGTAGAGTCTGGCTGTGTTGTAGCCGGGCCCCTTCCTGGTCCAGGGGGGCGTGGTGTGACCCAGGCAGGGCACTTGCTTTTCAATCCACCACCCCTGACCAAGCCTCCAGGTGTTTTTTCCTAAGATTTCGTGGGGCCGGGAGCAAGCCTAGGGCTGCGCAGGTGTGCTTCTGAGGGAGGCTCTGGGACACAGGAGTGGGGGACTTGGCCCTTGGGGTTGGGGAGCCCTTCCCAGCCCCCAGCAAAGTTACACACTGGGCGGGTGACGGTGGGCTCGGCTCCAGCCAGGGCTGTGGCCTCCGGGGAGGGCGGGGAGGGGGCCTGGCTGCCCGGGCAGGGCGGGGTCCCTGGGCCTAAGAGCGAGGCCAGGCCGAGTGAGCCCTGTGCGCACCGCGGTCGCCCCCGCAGCGCCGCCACCACACACAGCCCGGCTGCCGGGGAGCGCTCCGCAAAACACGAAAGTGACAGCTCGGCTCGCCCACGTGGGATCCCCGCGCGCCCCGCTCCCCGCACCCCAGGGGTTCGCTGCCCTCCCCTACTGCCAGGCCTCCACCCTGAGGCTCTGCCTGGCCCTCCCCTCCCCCTTCTCCATCCTCCCCCTCCCCCTCCATCTCTATCCTCCCCCTCCTTCCTCTCCCTTCCCCCTCCTCTCCCCCATCTCTATCCTCCCCCTCCGTCCTCTTCCTCCCCGCTCCCCTCTCCCTCCCCTTCCTTCTCCATCCTCCCCCTCCCCTCTCCCTCCTCTCCCTGCCCCTCCATCTCCATCCTCCCCCTCCCTCCTCTCCCTTCCCCCTCCCCTCTCCCTCCTTTTCCTCCCCCTTCATCTCCATCCTCCCCCTCCCTCCCCTCCCCCTCCGCTTCCCCCTCGGGTCCCCCAGGCCTCTGGCTCTAGTTCTAGTCTCACTTTTTCAGGTCACTCCCCATCTGATTTGGGCTGGAGTGGGAGTGTGCACGTGCGAGGGTGTGCAGGTGTGTGAGCGCGTGCGTGTGCGATCTCACTCGGCGGGGCCGCGGGGGGCGGGGGCTGGGGCATCTGGGGAGACGCAGTTCTCCCTCAGTTACTCTCGGAGCCGCAGGAGGGGGCGGCTCCGACAGCCGGCAGGTCTGCCTCTGCGGTGCGGGTGCCGAAAGCCTGCCTGCTGACGCGTGGCGCGTGGAGCTGGCAGTGGCCCTGGAGCCCCGGCTGGGTGGGGGAGGGTCCGCCTGCGCCTCCTGAGTACGGGGCTGCCCTTCAGCTGGCGAGGGGCAGGCAGCAGGGGAAGGGGTTGCATCTGGTGGAAGCTCTGGGAACGTGACCGTCCCAGAGGTGGGCCTCCCAGGGGATCTGGGAAGGCTGGCTGGGGAGCAGCCCCTTGGTGAGGCTCGGAAGGGCGGGCTGGGCTGGGGACTGGGGCTTCTTCACCTTTGAGTGCCCCCTGCCTGACTGGGTGCACCCAGAGTGCCTGGTTCCTCGTGGACTTGGGGTAGCATCTGCAGATCTGGGTGTCTGCAGGGACCTTCCAGCAAGAGCAAGGTTTCCTGGACAGAGGGGGGGAGGCCCCCAGGTTGGAAGCTCAGTGAGCCCGAGGCTGGGCAGGTCCCCTGGGGACCCACCAAGGGCAGCAGACCTGCGGTGTCCTGGAGATGCAGCCTGGGCTGCCCGGGGCCATGAGGCAGGGAGGGAGGGAGACCCAGACCAGGTGGGCCTCCCTGCTCCAGACGCACCCATTCGCCTGGTGACCCAGGGCCCATGGCATCACCTCTTGGCCCCTCTCCTGGGGGGCATGGGGCTTTGGCTGCTGGACGGGGACTCCCAAGGAGAAGGGGTCCACTTTCCTGACCTCACCCCCGTTTCTTGTGTGGCTGTGATGCCCAGTCTCCACCTGGCCAGACTGGCCATCCCTCTGCTCCTCGGTCCTCCTCCGAGGTGGGTCTCAAGGAGCCGCCTGCAGGGTGGGGAGGTCCACTCGGAGGCAGTTCTAGCGGCAGGGGCTGACACAGGTCAGGAGTAGTGCACAGGCCTCCAGGCCAGGGACACCTGGTGCTGCGCTCGCCTGCGGTGGCTGAGGTCTGTCTCCTCCCCGGCCTCTACTCTCACTGCGGTCCAGGAGAAGCTGGCACCAGCCCTGTGTGCAGAGGAGACCGAGGCCCAGAGGCACAGCCAGGCTGAGGCACGGCTGGGACTCTGACCCCTCTTCTCACCCCTTCTAGGTGTGGGTGGGGGGGCCGTGGGGCGGGGACCCCTGGGGCCAGGCCCTGGCCCCATCTCTCCTGTGTCCTCCCTCCCTCATCCTCTCCCCTCTCTCTCCAGGATGGTCGAGTACTCGCTGGACCTTCAGAACATCAACCTGTCGGCCATCCGCACCGTGCGTGTCCTCCGGCCCCTCAAAGCCATCAACCGCGTGCCAAGTGAGTCGGCCCTGCCCTGGCCACCCAGCCCTGGCCACCCAGCCAGCTCATTCATTCACTCAGAGAAGGGTGACCAGCTTCTTCCGGGGCCAGGCCTGAGCCTGCAGTGCCCAGACAGATGGGCCCTGCCTCCTGGGACAGTGTTTGGGCCCAGGGACGCCGGAGGGTGGCTCTGATACCTCTGATGTCCCAAAATAACTTGGATTGCACCGTCCTGGGGAGGCTGACTGCTCAGGGACAAGAGGTCCCTTGTGGGTGGTCTTCTCAGGCTGTGTGGAAAGAAGCTGTGAGTTGAGGGGAGCTCTGCCGCCTTTCCCTGGGGCGGGATCCCAACCCCCCGACCTGTCCAATGGCACCTCCGTGATCTTGGTCTCTTTCTTTTTGTGATACTAGGGATTGAACCCACGGGTGCTTAATCGCTGAGCTACACCCCAGTCCTTTTTATTTTTTATTTTGAGTCAGGGTCTTGCTAGGTTCCTGAGGCTGGCCTTGAACTTGCCATCCTCCTGCCTCAGCCTCCTGAGTTGCTGGGTTCACAGGTTCGCGCCACTCTGCCCTGTGCCTGATTTTTTCTGAGTCTTACCATCCACCCTGTGAGGGAGGTGGACTGTCCTCCCTTTAGAGATGAAAAAGGGCGGGACTGTGGACCCCCGCCCCTGGCAGCGTTGCCAGTGAGGCTGCCCCAGAGCCAGTTAGGTCCCTGACTCTGCAGCTGCCCTATGTTAGGTGTGGGCTGGAAATCTGGAGAAGGGGCTCATGGTGCTTTCAGTCCTGCTGGGAAAGGACGGGGACTTTTGTAAGCCCTACCCACGTCCTGTGGTTTAGGCAAGAGGCTGATTTTTTCAGCAACTTGTGTTGAGGCTCAGAGAGCATTAGTGGCTTCCACAAGGTCACACAGCAATTCAGTGTCGAATGGGGATCTCGACGAGCTCTGTCCACCCTGAGCCTGGCTCTTTTCCCGGCTCCGTCTGGATCTTTGCTTCTCTTCCCTGCCTGACCCTCCGTTTCCCCAACTCTCCCTTATCCTCCTCCGGTCAGTGTTGTCCCCCACCTCAGGTGTCTGGGCCTTGGGGCCCGTCCTGCCCCACCTACCCACATCTTTGGTCCATCTGTTCCCTGAGGCCCTGGTCTGGCTCGAGGCCTGTAGAGGTGGCGGTCAGCCCAGGCAGGCTCCAGGAAGCTTGTAGAGCAAGGTGACCAGGAGGGGACTGGAGCTGGCTGGGCCTGGAGGTGGCCTGGGGAGAGGAGTAGTTCAGCCACCTCCCGTTGTTCTGGGGAGGCAGGGGAGGGACATCGGACAGCTGCTGGGGACAGGGAGCTGTGGTGGCCAGCTTCACTCCATCCTCTCACCCCGATCAACACTAGAAAGCTCTTTAAAGAGCCCCCAGTTCAAAACCATCTTTATCCCACTTACCAAACAAGGGACAGGCCCAGAGACGGCTATGATCCACTGGGGTCACACAGCAGATCGGTGGCTGGTGCCAGTTTCTAAGCAGTGCTGTTCCTCAGCAGCACGTGCTCTTGTCCTGTGTTCCCCACCTGCCTGTGATGGGAAACGGGCTAAAGGGCCGACTTCATCATCCTGGCACCCAGACCTGTGCCTGGTGGCTCAAGGGAACCCCCAAAACACATGTAAAATGCATGCACCCCGCAAACGTGGAGCATCTGTCCCTGCTGGAAGCTGGTAGGGAGCAGCTAGGGATCAGCCAGGTGGCCAGGGAGCTGGGGGACGTGGGAGGTGGGTGGGGGCGCCTGCCCTGAGGAGGCTGGGTGTGGGCCAGGGAGAGGGGCTTGAGGCTGGAGAGGACGGGACGGTGTGGCAGCCTTGGTGCCCAAGGGTGATGGAGCCACAGAAGCGGTCAGGGAGGGAGTTTCGGAGATGCCCCTGGCAGGAGGTGTGGGTCAGCTGGACACGGGCTGCTCAGCACCAGGAGGGGCGGCTGGGACTGGCGGGGGTTGAGGAGGGGGAGGTGCGCCTGCGCTCAGTTCAGGTCCAGGAGCGTCTGGCCTGGGCCACTGGGGGGGCACCCCAGCAGGGGCCACATCTCTCCTGGGCTCCACCCCAGAGCTCCCCACTTCTGAGGGAGGCAGAGGCGGCCACGTCCTGCCACTGTCCTGCCCCTGGCCAGGGAGGCCACAGTTGTGGTCACCTGGCGGAGGTGCCTGCTCATAGCAGGGCTCATACTTCAGTGGCTTTTGCAAGATCTTGAATCTACACCTCCCGCAGGTCTCGGGGCGGGCAGGCGTGGCCAAGTGGGGACGTTTCATAGTGGAAGGCCTGGGGGGTGGTACCGACCTGCCGAGGCAGCTCTCACGCTTGCTGGTGTCTGTTTGTGTGTGGGTGTGAGGACCTGCGTGTGTCCATGGGAGGACACGTGCACCCGGGTGCCTGTGAGGGTGCGTGTGAGTATGTACGTGGGGGTGGCCATGAAGGCGCGTGTGCACGTGTCCCCGGGTGTGGTAGGAACATGGGTAGGCACCTGTGCCCGTCCTTCCTGGGCCCCCTGCCCCCTCTCGACATGTGCATAGCTCATTAAGTGGCTCCTGGACTGTGGATGTCACTCCGCGTCCCAGCGTTAGCCTGCCATTTCCTGGAGAAGGGCAGGGACAGGTCCTGAGCCCAGCGTCCCTGTGCTCCCAGAGGGCGCCAATTACAGAGGCTCTGCGCCAAGAAAGCCCGAGAGGGACCGAGCCTGTCCCCAGGGTCTCCTTCCTGCTAATGCCCTCCTCCCCCCCGGGAGGCCCTCGAATTCCGCCTCAGCTGAGCGCCCAGCACTGGGAGGGGGGAAGCGCGACCCTCCGTGTCCAAAGCGGGAGCAGGTTTGAGAAGCAGCCAGGGGCCAGTGCCAAGGGACTTTAAGGAGAATCCATATTCATCATTCAACAGCGGAGCCCGCAGCTCATAGAGCACATGGGGTCTCTGGAGGCCTCTGGTGCAGCTCTCATTCTCCCGGAGAGACCCCTGTCCCCAGGTGCCTGTCCCTTGCCCACAGTCACCAGGGAGTGAGTGACCTGGGGAGGGGGCATGGACTCTTACACGTGCTTCTTGGAGGGATTTTGTGGGTTTCCTCCACCCCCACCCCCCTTCCTTTCTCCTAAATGTGAAATTCCTAGGAACATCTCAAGTCCTGCCATCTGTCTCTAGGGTGGCATTGGCCCTGGGACACATTCTTTTCCACAGTAGCCTGTAGTCCTCGGTTTTGCCACTAGATGGCAGGCTAGAGAGCTGGTAGCAGGCAAATTGAGTGACAGGTTGTTAATTGCAAAGCCCTGGGGAGTGGGGTGGCTGCCTGCTCTGTAAAATCGAAGCAGAGGCTCCAGAGCCCCAACGTGATCGACTGAGATCCTTGGTGGGGGTCAGGGGATGCGAGTTCTGGCCTGTGCTCTGCCATAAGCCTGGGGTGCGACCTGGGCCTCAGTTTCCCTCCTTGCACGGGGCAGAAGGCACCGGGTTACCTGCATGTTTCCAGCCTGTATAGGATGAGCGGGGAGCTGGAAGTCAGGGTGCTCTTTACCACCAGTCCCCCTCATCTGCCTCTGCAGCTTCTGTCCTGGGCCAGCCCTGAAGGATAAAGGGAAGGAGACGTAGAGGAGAAGGCTGGAGAGGGAGGAGGGATGAACTTTGAGGCAGGAGACTGGCTTCTGCTTCCTCACTGTGTGACCTTTCTCTGGCCTCGGCATGAGGGGGCTGTATTATCTCTAAATGTGGTCTCTTCTGGCGGCAGACCCCGCCAAGGGTGTGGAAGGCACTCCCAGGCCTGGGGCCAGGCAGGGCGCTGACCATGCTGTGTGTGGCGGGGCAGTTCATGCCTGGGAGCTGCAGGTCTGTTCCGCACGGTTGGCTGGTGCAGGGCCCTGGGCGGCCATGTGGAGGAAGGCGCTGGGGAGCGTTGGGTGTGTGGGGGGGGTGGGGGGCATCAGGGATGTCTTCCCAGGGCTGGTTTTAGAAGAAGCTGACCAAGTGCACAGAAGGTCCCAGGGAGTGTCCCTGGCAGGTGACATGTGCACAGGTGGGGTAGAGGTGTCTCCTGGGAGCAGTGTGGCTGGGCGGGGGACACATGTCAGAGGAGGCAGGAGGAGGTTGTTCACATCTGGGAATTGGATAAGGATCATAAGTGCTTGGGACAAACCTGTCACAGTGTCTAACAGGGGCTGAATCACTTTTCCTTCAAAACATGGTGATGCCCAGTTTATGGATGGAGACCCCGAGGCAGAGGGCAGGGCAGAGCTGGGATCTGAGCCTGCCCTTACAAGATCCCAGGGCTCCTGACCTTCTTTCTGTCATAGGCACTCAGTGCCCTCTTGACTGACAAGCGCCACAGGAGACACAGAGTTAAGGGCCCCTGTCCCTGTGTAGGGACACCTGGAGGGGACGCCAGGACCTCCCATCTGCCTGTAGCTTGCTCTGCTGCAGACGTCTGCGGCCTCTCCCTGCCAGGTGCAGGGTTCCCACGCTGCAGGGCCCTTGGGGCTGAGTCAGGGCCATGCAGGAGGCAGGAGAGTGCAGTGGTTAGGGCAGGAGGCCCCTGTCCTCATGCCCAGGCACATGCCTAGAGGGGTCACGTCAGGCCAGCCATCCTAGGGAGGGACAAGGAGGGCCCAGGATTCCTTCTGAGGGAGCTTGATCTTGGCAGGATCTGGGAGGAAGAGGAGTGGCACATCTCATTATGGAGACGCGCCTTTACTTGAAGGCTCTGGGCACTAAGCCCTGCCACACCTTGGGCTTTAGGGCCGTCTGCCCCAGCACCCCAGGGTCCCCAAAGGCCCGCAGCCTCCGTGGGGAAAGAAGAGAGGGAGGCTGGGGAGAAGGGGGAGGGGACAAGGGCTGGCTTCCTGGGCTGCTGCTTTCCTGGAGTGGACGGGGCAGGGCGTGTGGCGGGGAGCATCTGGCCAGATACCTGGCGAGAGCCTGACTTGGGAACAGGAAATGAGATGCAGCCAGGACGGGAAGTGCTTAGGTGTGGGCGGGGCAAAGGGAGCCAGCCCGGGCCAGGGACGCCAGGACCTCCCGTGGATCCCCTCGGGCCACTTGTGGGGTCAAAAAGAACCTCAGCCACAGCCCCTCCCTGCAGGTGGCAGCTGACCCGGGGGCCACAGGGCTGGGACGAGCTGCCATGGGTGGGGGGAGGGCACCAACGCATACCCAGAGAGGATCACAGAGGGGTGGGCAGGACGTTGGCAGGATGAATAGGGATTGCTGGGCCGCAGCGGACAGGGACCTTCAGTGAGAAGGGTGGGCCCGACCCGACCCCCAGGTGCCAGCCCCTCCAGCTCTGGGGACCTGAGGCCTCCTGGGTGGACAGATGGGGGTTCCCTGGCTGGGTGGGTTCAGAGGCCCCCCCACCAGCCCACGGGCTCTCTCCAGCTGGGCCAGGGCCAGCAGCTGTGACCTCGGCAGCCTGGCCGTCTGCTGCCTGGCCCGGCCTCCCCGGTGCCCGCTGTGCCCCTGATTAGTTGGCGTTGGCTGCGGCAGGGGCGGCAGACGGCCTCTCCTGCCTGCTCAGCGCCCTCCACTGACCCGGCCAGACCAGGCCTGGAGGCCACGGCACAGGCGTCCCCTCCTCTGTGTCCCCTCCCCGGCCACAGGCTGTGCCCCTGGCTGGCACATGCCCAGTGAGTTCTACTTGAGCTGGCCTGGCAGAGTGGCCGTGCTAATCTGGGCTGACGGCTCCTGTCTGTGGAGAGCACCCCGGACCTGGAGGGGAGATGCTGTCAGGAAGGCACCTGTCACCTGCCACTTCCACCCATTCCCCTGAGGGGCTGCCCTGCTTGCGGGGCCCCCGGAGCAGAGGTCTGGTCTGGGGTCCTTCCCCGGGTGGGGAGGGGCGCATCTCATGCTTTTGCCACTGTCATCTGCCCCAGCTCCTTCGCTGCAGAGGACAGTCCACTGGCCCCACCCCAGACTTGGGCCGATTCCCCCAGGCCCTGAGGTCTAATGAAGCGATGCCAAGTGCCCCCGACTCTGCAGTGCTGGGCCTGGAGGTGACCCCGGGGCTGGGCTTCCCAGAGGGCCACCCCAGCCTGGACTAGCCCCCGCGTGGGCAGCGGCATGGCAACCACAGGACCCCTGCTGTGGGCAGAGTGCAGCAAGATCTTGTGGGTAGAGTGGCCGGTGGCCCAGGGGAGGGCGGGGGCTGTGTCCAGCCGGAACCACAGTGGCTGTGAGGCTGTGGGATGGGCCGTGAGCATGGCGGGGCTGGTGGGATAAGGCTTTGAACTTTCCCGGGGTGGTCTGTTGGCTTGAGGGGCTCTTCCATCAGAGGTGCCCCCACTGGGCAGTGCTCCTGAGAGGCCGGCTGGATTGCACATGCCACTGTCCCCATCTGTCGATGAGGCCATTTGGGCCCAGAGAGGGCGAGTTCTTGTCTTGGGGCCACCAGGTCTGGACTGGGACTCAGAACTCGTGTTCTAGGTCTGTGCCTGGGTGCCCAGCAGGACAGGGCTGCATCAGTGCCCCGGCCCCCCCCCCCCCCCGCCTTCTTGGCTGGGAGCAGGCCCTCCCCACGCTCTCCTGGTGGCTCTTCTGGTGGCCTGCAGCCTGGCCCTTCCAGATCGCCTGATCCCTGCTAAGCCCCTGCTGAGAGGGAGACAGGACTAGAGGGGACTGGAGGCCTTCCTGACCAGCCCGGGGCGGGCACCTGGAAGACTGCCTGGAGGAGGAGGGTTTGCCTGGGAAGGTGGAGGGAGTTAGGAAGGACGGCCTGAGGGGGTGACATCCAGCTGGCTTGCCTGTCCCTGTGTTCCGTGTTCTCCCCTTCTGCGGGCTCTGGTCCTGTCCTGCCTCTCCCTGTGCTGTCCCCCTCTGTTCTTTGTGCCCATTTTCCCGTCCCTCTGGGTCCACTGTCTCTCTCTCTCTGTCTTCTCTGTCCCTCTCTCCCCTCTCTCCTGCCTGCGCTGCCTCGTGTGCCCAGGGTCAGGGGAGCGGAGGGCAGAGTGGAGCCGGCTGGCCCGTCCTGCCTGATCGCTTGACCCAGGACACAGAGAACGAGACCCTGGGTCCCTCGGGCTCTTCCCCGGCCCCCTCTCCCCGGCCCCCTCTCCCAGCTCCTGCCGGGGCCCTGATTAGCTAACTGTGCCTCTGCCCTGGGCCCGGGACTCCCTGGGCGCGTGTTCGGGAGCCTTTCAGACGTCCGCATCCTGGGCGACAGGGAGCTGAGATTGATTGAGCAGCAAAGGCCAACCCAGGGGTCAGCCAAGGGGGCTGCGCTGAGCTGCGGCTCCCCCTGTCGCTGGTCCGGCCTCTCCTCCGCTGTGCCGGCCTCTGCCAGGCCTCCAGCATTGCCCTGGCCTCGCCCAGAGCCGACCAGGGGCTGGGCCTCTGAGGACAACCATGACCGACATGGCCTCCTGCCCGTCGCCCGCGGGTCCCGCCTCCTCAGAGCCCTCTGCCGCGGCCCCAGCCGTCTCCTGCTTGGTCCTCAGGGCCACACGGCCAGGCCTTGGCCACCCCTGTCCCTCGACGTGGCAGGCTCCTCCAGTGTCCAGCCTCTGCACGCATGCGTCCTCGGGTCTGGGCCTGCCCTGCTGCCAGGCTGGATCGCTGAGGCGGGTCAAGAGGGGCTTTGTGTTCAGCTGTGGGCTCCTGGGCCCAGCCCTGTGCCTGGCTCTCAGCTGGCACTAACTAGGTGCTTGGTGAGTGACCGTGGGCATGAGTGAGCCAGTGAGGCCCCAGAGGGCCGGCCATTGGCTTCTCCAGGGCAGCCGGCCATCTGCGGGGTCCTGCGGGGGCCTGTTTTCTTGCTCTGGTTTGGGGGCCATAGGGAGGTGGGGCCTGGGGACCCCCTGGTACCCTCGGTCGATGAAGCCGCTGCCGGGAGCCCCTGCCTTTCCTGAGAGGAGGCTGACCTAGTTTTGTGGGGAGGCAAGGTGGCGGTGGGCATTAATTATTGATTAGAAATCGCTCCACGCACAGTTTGTGATGCAAATCCCAAATAATTATCCTCGTTAATAACCACCTCGGCACCAGCCCTGGAATACACAGACCCCGGCAGGGCCGCTGTCCCCACCGCGGTCTCCCAGCCCTCCACACTCTTCCCGTGATGCTGCTCGGCCTCTGCGATTCAACAGCATTCAACAAAGTTAGCTGAGACCATCTCCTGGGCCAGGACCTGCTGGCTCTAGGAACACTGAGGTGGCTCAGACACAGGCTCTGTCCCTTAGGAGCTCACAGCTCAGTAGATGAGACAGGATGGTGGAAAGGAAGCTATGCCAGGCCGCGAGGGTGTGGGTGCCCATGGAGAGGCCCAGCTTGTGCAGTGTGCAACCTGCACAGATGTGCATGGCAGCCGGGGCGAGGTGACAGGTGCTGAGGTTGCCTAGAGCAGAAGAGAGGGATGAGCTCTACCTGGGACGGGGTGAGGAAGGGCCGGAGAAGCGGCCAGAAAGGGCATTTTGGGGGCTGTGGTGGTTGAATGGGAGTCTGCCGGGGTGTCCCAGGAAGAGGACATAGTGTGGGCGAGATAGTGGGTTCTGGAAGGAGGGCGGGACCTGGTGTCCATCAGACCCTGCTGTTAGCTGAGTGGCCCAGGCAAGTGACTCCAGGTCTCTGACCTTCGCCTTGGCTTCCCCGCGTGAAGTGGAGGCGGGATCCTCGACCTCTCAGGGTCATGGAGACTGGAGATCCCGCTTGGGCCAGCCCTGGGGGGTGCGCACAGTGTGTCCACATCTTGTGTGAGTGCGGCAGGGCCCGGAGCTGTTCTCCTGGCTTTCTGGGTAGAGGGACACACGTGCAGGCCGGGTGCCCTGGGCGCCTGGGCAGTGTGTCCCTGTCCCCGTCCCCTGCTCCTGTCCTCCCAGGACCTCGCCTCCCGCCGACGCGCCCCCTGCCTGCCCTTCCTTCCAGGCATGCGGATCCTGGTGAACCTGCTGCTGGACACGCTGCCCATGCTGGGGAACGTCCTCCTGCTCTGCTTCTTCGTCTTCTTCATCTTCGGCATCATCGGGGTGCAGCTGTGGGCGGGGCTGCTGCGCAACCGCTGCTTCCTGCAGGAGAACTTCACCATGTGAGTGGGGACCCCCTCGCCTGCGCCACAGGTCCCCGGACAGGAGGAGGGAGGGCGGGACGGGCGCAGAAGCAGCGCCATCAGGGTGGGGCCCCAGAACGCAGCTCCCAGGCTGCAGCCAGTCAGTCAGAAAAACCAATTGTGTCGCTCCCACTGTGCGCTAGACGCGGGAGCCCAGGACAGGAAAGCCTTCTCATCCCTCTCTCCCTGGACACGGCCCGGCGGTGGCTCTTTGTCCTGCTGAGATGGGTCCTGCCCTTGGGAGCACCAGGCTGGGCGCGGATCCTGAATGTCTCTCCTGAGGGACGCTCCCCGGGCCAAGGGCCTGTTGGGGGTGTGGGGACCCAGCGCGGGGGTGGCTGAGCTTCTTCTCTCTGTCCCTGTCCCGTGGATCTGGAGGACAGGGTCGCTGCAGCGAGCGCTGGGCCCCCTGGGTAGGCAGGGAAGGGCCGCCTCGTGGGGAAGGGTCCTGCGTGGGGCTGGGGGTTACATGAATGTCGACCTGAGCTGTGGCTGGGGCCGTCGGGGAGGGGACGGGGTGGCAGCCGCTTCTCCTGGCCTGGCCTTCAAGGCTCAGTGTGCCTCCAGCCCGGCAGGACAGGATGGGACGAGGACGGCGGCTCCTCCTGCCATGCGGTCTCCCCGCCTGGTCCCTGCACGTCCCCTCTCCGTTGTCAGGCCTGGCCCTGTGGGGTGGCCCCAGCCCCGAGCTGGCTGCCGTGACGGTGGGGGGGAGGTTGCTGGGGACATGGGGCCGGGCGCTCATCATCTGCTGGGCCTCCGGGAGCCTCTGTCCAGTTCCCACCGTGCAGGTAACACTGAGGCCTGGAGAGGGAAGGGACGTGGCCAGGGCCACACAGCAAGGCTCCCTCCAAGCACCGGCCCCTGAGTGGGTGTCCGGACGTGGCCCACCATCAGCCCCTTCCAGTGGCCAGGCCCTGTGCGTGGCCTCGGGCTGTGGAGGACTTCACCCGGCCTCCATTCTGGGCGAGTGCGCGGCCAGCAGCTGGGCTCTGGGCTGTGGCAGAGGGAGCCGGGTCCGAGGCCAGCGCAGGGTAGGCTTCTCCAGTCTGAGGACGGGAGGCCGAGTGGCTCTTGGAAAGACGGGGGTGTCTCCTGGCAGGTGGGGGGCTGGGGTGGTGTTGGGCGAGGCACATGACGCCTGGCCTCTGGGGTCAACTTCTGCCAAGGCCACTTGCTAGCCTTGTGACTTTGGGAGCAAGTGTCCAAACTTCCGTGCCTCAGTTTCCCCACCGTGGGGTACTGTGAGGGTGACCAAGCCACAGGGCACCGGGCCCTGGGAAAGGGCTTGGCCCCAGGCAGCACCGTGAGCAGCTGAGTGTTGCCCAGGCAGCTGGGGGTGTCCTTGTGTCCCCCACTTGCCTAGAAGTTCCTGGGGGTGGGCGTGGTCATTCGTAGGGCAGGCGCTGAGATGGCACCTGGAATCCCAGGGGCCCAGAGGGTGACCGTAGGGTGACGCAGGTTGAGACATCTGGTATTTACAGGGGCCTCAATACATGCTGGGCACTACTCTCAGCAGGGTGCTGTGAGGGAAGTATGTTATCATCTTCATTTCACACTTGGCTCAGAGAGGTGAGGTCACTTGCCCGAGGGCACACAGCATGTAAGTTGCAGTCAGCCAGCAGAGGCTGTGGGTAACCTCAGAGGAGGGGTGGGAGGCATGGCTGAGCTGCAGTGGGAGAAGGAGGGCTGGATGGTGGCCACGGGGACAGGCATGGGCTGCCTGGTGCTGTGTGAGAGGCTGGTCATCTGAGCTGGGTTCTGGACACAGGCGCAGCTGCCCCAGCTTCCCTGGACTGAGGCAGTGTTGCTGGCAGAGAGCTCCGAGGGGATGCCTCAGGTGAGAGTCAGGGGCCAGGGAGGGCAGGGACCCGCCAGGCGGGCCCTGTGTCCAGTTCTAGTGAGCCCTCCCCACCCTGCACTCAGGCCCAGGGACTCTGCCTTCTGGGTGGATCCATGGTGGCCGTGACTCTCAGACCTCTGCTGACGAGTTTTCAAGAGTGACTAATTCTCAAAAGGAAAACCCAGGCTGGAATAAAATATTTGCAGTACATGTGTCCACCAGGAGCTCAAACCTGCAGAATCTATGGAGTCACGACAGGTGCCAATGATCAGATCTAAAAATGGCCCCAGAGAGCTCAGCAGAAACTTCACAAGGGGCAGGCACGCGGCCGATGGACTGTGGAAGGGCGTTCACCACTGCTGTCCTTCAGGGACAACGCATACTCAAACCACAGATCCCATGACCCCCCGCTAGACGGCTAAGCTCAGGGCTGACGGTGCTCAGTGCCACCGGCCGTCGGCGCCCTGGACGCCCACACTCTGCTGGTGGAGACTCTGTGCAGCTCTGCGGAAGGGCAGAGCCGGGTGCAGCCTCAGCCGGCAACTCCGCCCCTGAGCATTTGCTCAAAAGAAAGGGCGGCTTAGATCCACCCAAGGACGTGGGCAGGAATATTTATAAGGCACAAGAGCCCCAAACCCAGGAGCGACCCAAATGCATAGTTGCATAAATTAGTAGCCGCACAGTCACTCAGTGGATTCACTCCAGAAACAAGGACGAAGGCACTGCTTTCCCACTCTGGCCGTGTCTCTCCATGGGCAGAGTCTCTCTGTTCAAGAGTGACATCCAGTTCACCGGCATTCTTTAGCCTTGCCCTGTGTCCTAGCCCAAGGTCCCGAAGCCCATTCTCCCTGGCTGGCTTTTAGAAGCTGCCCTTTAAATCTTCCGTCTCCAGTGGCTTTGTGTCCGCTGGGTGGCGGGGGGACATCAAGATGTGCTGATGCTCTTAATGGGCCTTCGGTTGTCCTAGGACCGATCACTGAAAGGTCCAGCTGTCCCCAGCGATGCCTTATTAGAGTCGGTGACAGGATGCAGTGGGTGGGGTGTCACCTGTTGACTGTTGCCAAATGGCCCCGCCAGGGTCGTGTGGTCTGCACACCTCTGACAGTGCACACACGTGTGTGCTCACACTTGCAGCATCCTCGGCCCTGACGGGCCGTGCGGTGGGTGCGGTGATTTCGACGTGGTTCTTCTTGGCTCTGCGGCTCTCTGGTCCCGTCAGGACTCACAGTGAGGAGGTGGAGTTCATTGCCGTCTTAGGACGGTTTCCCTCCATCGTCCTGCCAACCCCGCCTGGGTGTGCTCCCACTGGGTGACCCTGAGCTGCCTGGCAGGTCCACGGAGAAGAGCAGGCCAGGACCCCATGGGCTTGGGGGGACCTAGGCCTTAGCCCCATGGGCTCTGTGTCATCTCTGGTCCCCGGATCCAGAGCAGAGGAGGGGCTGGTGCAGGGGCACACAGGTGAACTACCCTTGTCTGCTGGGCTGGTGAATTCAGCATGCGCTTATTGAGCACCTACTATGTGCTGACCCAACAGCCTAGGGGCCCAGGGCCTGGAGGCCTCCCTGGGGAGCTGGACTTAGCTGTCCCAGCAGCCCTAACGGAGGTCTGGGCTAGGCATGGTGAGGTCCCAGGGAGTCGGGGACAGTTCCCCAGGGGAGGGGACGCTCTCAGGGGATTACAGTGGGACTGAGGGAGGTGGGAAAGGAACTCAGGCCAGCCTGCCCCCGCGTGGCCTTCCCTTTCCGGTCCTCCTGGCAGTGACCCCTCCCTTCCCTTCTTTGACCCGCCCTCACCCTGGGCAGACAAGGGGACGTGGCCCTGCCCCCCTACTACCAGCCAGAGGAAGACGACGAGATGCCCTTCATCTGCTCCCTGTCGGGGGACAATGGCATCATGGGCTGCCACGAGATCCCCCCGCTCAAGGAGCAGGGTCGCGAGTGCTGCCTGTCCAAGGACGACGTCTACGACTTCGGGGCGGGGCGCCCGGACCTCAACGCCAGCGGGCTCTGCGTCAACTGGAACCGCTACTACAACGTGTGCCGCACGGGCAGCGCCAACCCCCACAAGGGCGCCATCAACTTCGACAACATCGGTTACGCCTGGATCGTCATCTTCCAGGTGAGGTCCTCAGGCCCGGGGCCACCGGAGCCGCTCCACCCAGCAGGTGTTTGCCACCCGGTCTCCCTGGAACCTGCCCGGCCTGCGGGCACCACAGGTGCCATTGTGCCCGTCTTACAGGCAGACAGACTGATAAATGGCCAGATGGGGACTGGCCCGGCCGCCTGCAGAGTCTGTGCCGTGTGCAGTCCCAGGTTCCGGAGGCAGAGGTGCCGGCTGGGAGGTCCCCACAGAGGACAGGCAGGACACACGTGCGGTCCTTGGAGGACTGGCCAAGGCACGCGGTGTCCCCTGGGGTGCGAGGGAGGAAGGACATTCCTGGTGGGGTGACAGCAGAGATCAGCTTGTACCGTGTCAGTGGAAGCCATGTCCCATCTTGTGACCCAGTGCACACACCTGCCCTCCCAAAGCCACGGTAGCCTGCCTGGGTGGCACGGTTGGCCCTGCGCTGACCCCGTACCTGTCCTCTGCAGAGGGTTTGTTTGTGGAATGGGGCTGAAGGACCTTGGATAGCTGCTCAACCTCTCTGTGCCTCGGTTTCCTTATCTTTATAATGGGTATGACCCCAGGCCCCTCATGCTGGGTACTGGGAATAGGCCAGGTGACGGGCAGGAGGCAGCCCATGCTCCGTGGGTGCTCAGTCAAGACTCAGCTCCCCTGTCCCCAGGAGGGATGTGGCTGGCGCGGGCAGAGCCGGGAAGCCTGTAGCCATGAGGAGCAGGAGCACAGCACTGGGAATTCAGAGCTGCAGGCCGTGTCTTGGGGCCGTGTCTGGGCTTTGCCAGGGACAGACACACCTCTGAGCTGGTCTTTCTTGAGGCTGCCCCTCTCCCTCTCTGGGAAGACATCGGGTGGGGCAGGGGAGACAGTCCCACCAGCCTCGTCCAGTGCACACATTTGGGATCCAGTGAGCCTCACCCGAGCCGTGCCCGGGGGCCTCTGCCATCCCCGTGTACGAAGAAGCAGCTGAGGCCCCGGGTGGGCCAGTAGCCCAGTGATGAGGTAGAGCTGGGACCTCTGGGCTCCTGTTTCCCAGCCCGCCTGCCCTGGCACGGTAGCCAGAAAATGGGGTGAGGTCTAGAGTGAGCGGGACCAGGATTGAAGTCCCGGCTCTAGTACTGCCTGGCTGTTTGACGTTGGGCAAGTGTCCTCACCTCTCTGAACCACCGTTTCCTGGTCTGTATCGCGTGGATGGAGAGGCTGCCCTACAAGGGCGGCGTGTCTGCGACCTGGTGCACATCAGGCTCTCCCCTCTCGCCCTCGGTGCCGGCTGCAGGTGATCACCCTGGAAGGCTGGGTGGAGATCATGTACTACGTGATGGATGCCCACTCCTTCTACAACTTCATCTACTTTATTCTGCTGATCATAGTAAGTGTCGGGAGCCGGGGCTGCTGGGCTGGCTCAGGACCCACGGACCAGGGGAAGGGGACTGGAGGAGGGGGGAGGCAGCAGGAGGGGCTATTTTTAAATGCGGCTGACTGGGGTGATTGACAGGCGCATCAGGGGCGGCTGCTGGAAGCGTCTGTCACTTCTGAGGGCCTTTGTTTCTCACTCCTGGGCGTTGGATCCACCCGTTGCACCTGCTTGGCTTCTCTGCCATGTGTCTCTGGGAACACATCCTTCTCATGACCTTAGCTGTAGGTGTGGCCCCAGGATGGTGCTTTTCAAGGGCCCCGGCTTGTCCCTGTTTTCCTGGGACAGGAAGACACAATCTCTGAAACCAAAGTGTGGGGCCACTAGCAGAGCAAGGTTTGGAAAGAGGCGCGTGACCCTGGTGACCTGGTGGGGAGGTCCCTCTGCCTCTCAGGCAGCTCTGCCCCCTGGGCTGACCAGGAGACGAGGCTCTGTCGGCCCTCGCGGGCTGGCCTTTCTGCTTCCTGTCCCCACAGTGTCCCCAGAGCAGGCTCGTCCACCTTGTCATGCCTGACTGCAGCTTCAACCACAGCGCAGTCACCCCAAAATGTCAAGGTGATTTCACTCCCGGGAGGTGCTGCTCACTCCCCACCACTGTGGGGTTGGTCCTCTGGCCTCTTGGTGGTGGGAGGGGGCATGCTTGGCCCGCTGGGGCACCCCCATCCTGAGCTGGGGGTCAGGGCGCTGGCAAGTGACCCGAGATGCCCCTGCTCCTGGCTTAGCTGCAGTGCTCTCCTGGGGAGGCCGGGGCCTTGGACCCAGGAGACCAGCCACACAAGAGAAAGGGACCCGGCCTGGTCAGCTCTGCTGTCCACTCACCAGAACAATCAGGAAGGCCCACCCCACACCAGGCCGGAGCCCAGTGCTGGGAAGGGAGGGGCGGTTCAGCCAGTCTGGGGGGAGTCTCCTGGCCTATCTCTTAGGTGCCGTGGTGGAGGGAAGCCCCGGGGCCCTCCCCCACCCAGGGGAGGCTGGGGACATGGGAGGGTCCCTGAAGGAGATGCCAGAATTGAGCCTTAAAGGCCTTGGGTGTCGAGCAGGGGAGCGCCTTCTGGATGGGAGCCGTGCGGGAGGAGCGCCATGGAGCTGGGGGTGGTAGAGGAGCCGGAGTTCCCGAGGGGCTGGAGAAGTTGCCCTCTGCTCCTCCGGGGGAGCCAGGGTGGCCCTCGAGCCACTTTATGAAGTCGGCATGTGACAGCACTTAGCTCCTGGGTCTGGGAAGGCAGAGCCCCAAACCTGCAAACCCCGCACACAGCAGGTGCTCAATAAGTGTGCTCTGCTGCTCTTGCTGCTGCTGAGGAGGGGCCCCAGGTGGTCCCGTCCCAGGGTAGAGCAAGCTGGCTGGGGCCGAGTGTTTTGAGGCACGTGGAGGGTGCAGAGGGCAGAGCTGGACAGACACACTGACGTTCACCCTCGTGCCTGGCCATGCAGGGGCACGAGCTTCGATTCTGAATCCCTGGCCTGGGCCACACAGCTGGAGAGGGCTCCTCAGCCCCCACACAGTCCCCGTCATGCTGCAGGTGGGGCAGAGCACAGGCCAGGCGCTGGCCCTTCTGGCCACTGGCAGCTGAGCTCATTCAGAAGTTTGCAAATGTCAGGGGAGGGGCTGCACCCCAGAAGCACAGGACACCTCTTGTGCCCAGGATGGCCCCTGAGGGGCGGGGCCTTGTGCTAGCTGGGCAGCCTCTCCCCAACTGTCCCTTCAGGCACAAAGAAAGCCAAAGTCCAGGCTGGAGAGTAGGACTCAGGGCCCAAGTGGTCCAAGATGGGCCGCAGCCTCCCTCCCTGGCCTCAATGCCAGCGTCGGGGGTGGCCGGGGCCTCGGGCCGGAGCATGGCCTGGCTTGGAGTGGGCCCCGTGGGGCCTGGAGAGCAGCCTGGGCCACGCCTTCGCCTGGAGCAAGGCCTCAGCCGTCTTTTCCTGTCCCCATCTGTGTCTGTGCCTCTGTCTCTCTGGGACCCTCCACCCTCCCCTGCTCCTCTCTGTCCCTGTCTCTTCCCCCAACTCGGTGTCACCCATGCCCCAAATCTTCCTGAGCCTGTGTCACTCTCTCCTGTGTCCCCCTTGTCCTTGCTCTCTGCTGGCCCCCTGCTGTCCTCCCTCTGTGGGTGTCTCTGGTCTGTCCCCGTCCTCCTCCTCTCTCCACTCTGGCTGCTGTCTCCCCGTCTCCATCTCTGTCTCGGGGTCTCCCTGACTCTCTCTCCCTCTCTCTGTCTCTCTCCCTGTGTCTTCCTGCTGGCCCCTTCTCCACCTCCACCTCCCCTCCCCCACCGTCCCCTCTGTCCCTGTCCCTGTCCTCTCCTCCCGTTGGTCACAGGTGGGCTCCTTCTTCATGATCAACCTGTGCCTCGTTGTCATAGCGACCCAGTTCTCGGAGACCAAGCAGCGGGAGCACCGGCTGATGCTGGAGCAGCGGCAGCGCTACCTGTCCTCCAGCACGGTGGCCAGCTACGCCGAGCCCGGCGACTGCTACGAGGAGATCTTCCAGTACGTCTGCCACATCCTGCGCAAGGCCAAGCGTCGCACCCTGGGCCTCTACCAGGCCCTGCAGAGCCGGCGCCAGGCCCTGGGCCCAGGGGCACCTGCCCCTGCCAGGCCCGGGCCCCACGCCAAGGACCCCAGGCACTGCAGTAAGTGGCCCTGACACGAGACGGTGGGTGTGCCGCCACCTGCTGCTGATGGGTCCCACCTCCCCAGCCCGAGAGAGGTGTCCCAAGGCTTGGGGCCGGGTCTTCATTTCAGGGTCAAGCATTTCCCCGGCGGCCAGGAGCTCCAGGCGCACCTGCCCGGGCCTCCCTTGCTCACCCCAGGGCTCAGCCCCAGCCCCGGGGGACTCCCCTGCGCACAGACCTGGGCCCTGCCCCGGGAGCCGCGCTGGGCAGAGGGGAACGTGATCTGACCTCAGTCTTGTAGGTCCCCATCCACCAGCCTCCTGTAGCTGTCCCCAGCTACCATTGTGGCTGAGCTGTGAGTTCTGGCACCTGGCACCAAGGTCTGGCAAGGCAGGGACATGAGCCACCCTGTTCTGCCCCTGCTGGGGCCATGTCTCATGCCAAGTGCTGCCGGGTAGTTTGTGGGAAAGGGGCCCCTCACCTGAATCCTGAGAGCGGACATGGTCCCCAGAAGGCGGCAGGCTGGGAAATAGTACCCTGGTTTTCAGATGGGAAAAATAAAGTCCAAGGAGATGAGGGAGTCACTTCAGTGGCCCTGGGTGTCACCCAGTCACATGGAATGTTAGTTACCCAGGGCTTTGCTAAGTGTCCACCTCCAGCTGCGAACACCCCAGTCCCAGGAGGAGGCCGGCAGGGAGGGGAGGGCCCAGCTCTGTCCCCTTTCCTCCCAGCTGGGTGCTGAGCAGTTGGCAGGCCCTGGAACTGTCACCGGAGCAGCGGGGCAGGAGCGTGCCATGTGCTGTTCCCTGTGTGACCCCGACCATGGGGTGGGGTGGGGTTAGCCGGCCTCGGCTCCTGGTGGCCATGAGGTCAGCACCCAGGCCCCGCCCTGGGAGGCCGGAGGCTGTGGCCCACCACCCTGGGATGCCAGCCGTCCGGGTGTGGCCTTGGAGGAGGCTCCAGGTGGCCCGTGGGCTGGCCCAGCCTGCAGACAGGGGAGCTGGGGTCTGGGCAAGGCTGGCACCCGCCTGCTGGAGGACACGGGGAGGGCATCTACCTTGAGGCCTTCCTGCCGCTGCCGCCCTCCCCCTGAGCTTGCGGCAGGGGAGTCCTTCTAGAGGGGCTGCGGCCGTGCCTGGGCCTGCAGACCTCCCCCCAGGGTGTCCGGGGCCGGAAGGGCTTTGGCCTGCCCTCTGGAGCCGGGGTGGGTGGTGCTGGGCCCCTGGCTCAGAGCCAGGAAGCTGTCCCAGGGCTCTGTCCAGGGCTGGGAAGCACTTGGAGGCAAGTGCGGAGACGAAGGGCAGCTGTCCCGCGTCACAGGCTTCGCTTTCCCTTCATTGCTGCCTTTTTTCCTTACATGAGCAAAACGTGATTGTTCTAGAAAAACAGAGAAAAACTTAATGAAGCGCCCAACCAGCCAGAGGGAGGCCTCTCTGCCACCTCTCCTCAGACCTGGGCCCAGCCACAGGCTGCTCAGGTTCTCCTGGGGCATGAAGGGCATGTGAGCTGTGGCCCCTGCGTCCCTTCCTGCCTGTCCCCACCCAGCCCTGACTCTCCTGTGTCGGGGTGTCCAGGGGCTTGCAGAGTGAGCCTGCCCCGCCCCAGGCTCCGTCCCCTCGCTCCCCGGGAGACACAGGCGGAGAGCTGAGGAACACCTCGGCCACCTAGGTTGTCCCCTCTCCACACAGACTCTTTCATAGTCACACCCAGTCCCCGGGCTCTGTGACCAGGACCTGGGAGGGTCTGTTAAGTGACTGGCCCAGCACCAAGGGCAGAAGTGACCAACAGCAGGGACACCTGCCCCAGTCCCATCGTGTGTCAGTGCAGGGACTCCCGTGGCCTGCTGGTCTGTGCTTCCACCTGGCTCCAGACAGAGCCCAGAGAGGGGGACCGTCACCCCCAGGTGGGACAGGCTTGCTCCAGGCGGCCCCTGTGCCCTGGTGGCCAGGCCTGGGGTCGGCACTGACACTGCCTCGTTTGCTTTGCAGAGCTGTGCCCGAGACACAGCGCCCTGGACCCCACGCCCCACACGCTGGTGCAGCCCATCTCTGCCATGCTGGCCTCCGACCCCACCAGCTGCCCGCACTGCCAGCACCAGGCGGGCCGGCGGTCCTCGGGTCCCGGCAGCACCGACTCGGGCCAGGAGGGCTCGGGCTCCGGTGGCTCCGGTGGCTCCGGTGGCGGCGAGGCTGAAGCTGATGGGGACGGGCCCCGGAGCAGCGAGGACGGGGGCTCCTCGGGCCTAGGCAAAGAGGACGAGGAGGAGCAGGTGGGGGCAGTCCGGCTGTGTGGGGACGTGTGGCGGGAGACGCGGGCCAAGCTGCGGGGCATCGTGGACAGCAAGTACTTCAACCGGGGCATCATGATGGCCATCCTGGTCAACACCGTCAGCATGGGCATCGAGCACCATGAGCAGGCCAGTGTGGGTGCCGGGTGTGGGTGGCAGGTGGGGAGGGCAGAAGGTGCCCAGCGGGGACCCAGGTGGGCCGCCCCGTCTGTGCCTGTCTCCTGCTCCTAGCTGGAGCTGGCTTTGGTTCACCCCCAAAGGAGGGGGATGCTGGTGTCTGCTGCCCCAAGGTGAGTGACACTTCAAAGGACAGGACTGTGCTCTGCACCCATGCCCCTGTCCACAGGCCACCTCTGGGGTGACAGCCCGGACAAGTCCTGGCTCCATTTGGAAAAATACCAATTTTTGGCTATTGCTGTCTGGCAGACCTCTGGGGGACAGGTCCCTTAGCCCGCACCCCAGTCTGGCGAGGGCACCCCCACTTGGCAGCTGAGAATGCTGAGGCCCAGGAAGGGGAGTCACTGACCTGAGGTCCCCCAGCCAGCCAGAGGCCCAGTCTGAGGCCACCTCCTGGGGCAAGATCGAGCCCCCTTGGCCTCCGCACGTCCTTCCTTTTGTAAGACCTGAGCCCCGTGCCCGTGCGGGGGGCCGCACGCCGTCACCAGCTCCCTGAGCACAGGCTCCATTCAATTTACTTAAATGCGGCCCCTGGGGCTGCCTTGAGCTGCTGGTTGCCAGTCTTTCCAGCTTAATTAAAACGGTCTCCAGGGAGGGCCGCGCAGCTGGAGTGACAGGCAGCGCCTCCCCTGTCCAGCCCGGCCTCCCTGGCCCAGAGGCCGGGGTGGGGGCAGTGCTCCTGGGGAAGGCCCCACCGGGGCAGCTGCCCGCGAGGGTGGGGCCGAGTGTCTGCACCCCTCTGCACCATCCCTGGGCCACATCCCTGCCAGTGGGAGAGGCCCACGAGTTCATCCTCGGAATTTGGCGAACAGTTCATCCTTGGAACTGGCCAGGGAGGAAGCGGTGACACCCCGGGAACAGGCAGATCACACAAGGCAGGGCTGTTTGTTGGAGGTGGGCTTGGTGTGCCTGTGCCCTCCTAGGTGACACCACGGCTCCCTCTGCCCCCGAGCCCCAGCCTTGGGCTCAGTCAGGGTCCCTGACCAGTCTCCTCAGGGTCTTCTTGTCTGACCTGCCCCCACCCCACCCCTGCTCCTTCTGCCACATCCTGCTGAGCAAGGTTCTTAGCCCAACCCTGGCGCTGCCTTGTTCCTCAGACAACAGGTGTCTGAAGCCGTCACCCCTCTGCCCAGGTCAGCAGGTGGGGGAGGCTGTGCTCAGGTGTAGGGTCCACACGGGAAGCAGGCGCCCTGGCTGCATATCCTCTCCGTCAAAGGGAGGCCAGCTACTCAGCCTCTGCCAAGTGCCAACCTCTGAGCCAGCCTGGTGGCCCTGAGTCTTCACAGCTGCCCTCCGAGTTGGGGTCCTGCCCCCCCGCCCCGCACACTTGGAATGCGGTGCTCAGAAAGGCTAAGTCCCTTAGGCAGGGCTTGGGTTCCAACCCTGGCTCTGCAGGGTGGCCCTGGGTGAGCCACAGCACCCCACAGCTGGAGCCTCCATCTTGGTGGCGCATGGGCCCCATAACGTGGGTAGCTACATTACGAAGCCTGGTGCACAGAGGTGCTTGAGTCCCACAGGCTGGGAGTCTGGCGGGGAGCCCTGCACCGCAGCCCTGGGTGAGCGTGCCACCCGCTGTCTGGAGCCTCAGAAAGTTAATTAGCTAAAGAAAAAGCGAGGAGGAGGAAGCATTTTTAAAACGTTCTTTTTAAAGCCGCTCGGAGTGGCAGCCATTGTTCGGCTGCTCCATGCAGGGCCTGCCCTGGCCACTGGTATTTTTGCTCCTCTCCCTTGGCTCCCAGACAGTGCTTGGCGGGAAATAGTCCGCCCCCAAGTTTATTTTGAGCAGTCCCCGCTGAGGTGGCGCCTGTAGAAAGAGGTGGCCCAGGGCTGAGGAGGGAGGGACGCGGGAGGAGGAGGAGGAGGAAGAGGAGGAGGAGGAGGTGGGGGGGCTACAGGTACATCCCCTGCTCCCACGCTGTCCCCAGGGAAGGGCTTGCTGGTTCAGGTTCTCCTGGCCGTGGAGGCTGCTCCTTGCAGGGACTGGGCTGGAGGGGACAGGGGTCAGCATGTGTCTCAGGAAGTGGGAGGTGGTGCAGTCCCTGGAGAGCCCTGGGAGGCAGGCGGACCTGGCGCATTCTGTGGCTGTGGCTGTGACCGTGGGTAGGAGGGTCAGGCAGTTGGATTCCTTCCCCATCATCTGATGTCACAGTGTCACAACTCTTCCTCGTGTGACGACCCAGTCCTGTGGGGCAGGAAGGGTGCCTCAGACCCACTGAGCAGATGGGAGAGAAGGAAGTGGCCGGCTCCTGTGGCCTGTCGGCCGTGGGCAGAGCTGGGCCTGAGGTGCTGAGGACAGTGGTGGACAGTCACATTGGAGACGGGTCATGGGTCAGGAACTGCTGCTTCCAGGACAGTGTGTCTCAGCTTCCCTCTCTTCTGGAACACCAGGGCCATAATTCTTCCCAAGCTAGGCAAGGCTGCCCCCAGGGTCTGAAGATGGAGAAGAAACAGAGGATTGTGCTGAAAGGGCAGGGAGCAGGGAGCCTCCCTGGGCTTCGGCTGACCCTGGCCAGGGTGCCGCACTCACGGCTCTGAGTCAGCAGCGGCTCAAGTCCTGCTCTGGCCTCCCGCTGCACCTCCTGTGAAGTCACTGCCAACCCAGGTCGAGGGCGACTCTGGGAGGAGGAGGGAGGGTGGCTCAGTGACTGTCAGTCTGGCCCTGTGGGGGCCTGAGAGAGAGGTACCAGCGTGGGCTGCAGACAGGAAAGGGTCCGGGTAGGGGGAATGGAGGTGGATTCTGAGGGATGACTGTGAGTCCAGCCAGGCAGACACAACCACAGGGACCAGGAGCACAGGCATCCCCCGAAGGGCCCTGAGTCCACGAGAAGATGAGCACAAGGTGCAGGGCAGACGGCCCAGGGGCCAGGGTGGCGCTCACCCACAAAGGGCCTCGAAGCCAGCTTTATCTTTGGAGCAGTGGGGAGCCGTGGAAGGCTCGTTGGCCTGGGAGTGACGTGTCCGGGCTGAGCTGGAGCCTGTCAGAGAAGTGGGCAGGTGAAGGCCCCTGGGCTGGGGCGGGGCTAAGGGAGAGGAAGCTTCAAGATCTGACTCCAGGGGCTGGGGATGTGGCTCAAGTGGTAGCGCGCTCGCCTGGCATGCGTGCGGCCCGGGTTCGATCCTCAGCACCACATACAAACAAAGATGTTGTGTCCACCAATACTTGAAAAATAAATATTTAAAAAAAAAAAAAAAAAAAAAAGATCTGACTCCACCACTGCCTGGCCGTGACCCTGGCGGTCACTTCTCCTCTTTGAGCCTCGGGTTTCCTGCCTGTAAAAGGGGGGCAATATAAGGTGGTTCAGTTTAGACAAGAGGATGCACACCTGGCCCTGCGGGAAGCTGCACAGATTGCAGTTGCCGTTATCATCAAGGGGCTGCGCTGGGCTGCAGGGGCTCCTGGGCCAGCTGAGAGACCTCTGCCCACACTTATATCTACCCTGCAGAAGTGACCAGGGGAGGGGCAGCCTGGGGCCACCAAGCCTGGCATCTCAGCAGGAGGTGCTGGCCCCTGCCCCCACCCTGAACCTCTGTCAGCTCTTCCACTGGGTGGGCGGAGCCATCTCCAGTGGCACGTCCACTGTCCGCCTCTCTCCTGAGTCTGCCTCTGTCCATCTCTGTCCATCTCTGCCTCCCTTCCCACACCACCCCCTTGACATCTCCCCGCTGGGTGTCTAGTCATCTGTCTGTCTCCCTCCAGCCTGCCTCTCCCGGATGAGTGTGCTCCACAGTGATGGATGGTCCATTAGACAGATTCACAGGTGTGCGCCGCCCGAGAAACAGCTGCTGCGGGGGCGGAGGGAGGGGAGCGGGTGACCTTTCGGGGAGCCACGCTCCTCGCAGGGATTGCAGAAGCTTGTGTGGCGTGTGTGGCCGGGAACCGTGATCGTGGCCCTGGGCTGTCCGCGTCCTGGCTTTCCGTCTCCAGGTCGTGGCCTGGGTGGGCTGGGAAACGGGCGGCTCACACCGGCATCCCAGCCCTCCCAGAGGGCCGTCTCTGGGCCTCTCTCACCTGTGGGACCGTTTCTGTGAGTCAGACGTGATCACAGATGGACGGGGCCTCTCCTGTTGCTGGGCTGAGAGGAGCCGGCAGTTCTGCCAGATCCCAGGCCTGTGCGGGGGCTGCCAGGCTGCTTTTCTTCTTTCTTTCTTTTCCTTCTCTTTTGAACCCACATGGAATAAAGCCGGGCCTCTGAGGGTCCCTGTTGCCCCGCGGAGGGGTTGGACTGGTGGACGGAGATGGTGGTCCGTGGCTCCCCCTCCCCGCTGCCCTTGCTCTGGGCACCTTCTTTTCTCCCTGTCACGGGCTCTCTTCTCAGCTCTTAGGTCTCTGCCGAGATGTCACTTGCTCCAGAAACCCTCCCGGCCCCACCGACTCTCGTTCCCCCAAACTGCACTCAGCTCCCTGGTTTTCGCGGGAGCTGGTTGGCTTGTGGCGTGTAGGGATTTGCACTTGCGTGTGAGCGTGTCCGCTGCCGTAGCACGAGCCCAGACGTCAGGGGCCCTCAGTACAGAATGCTGTAGGAAGGAACAAGGGGATCGGGTGGTGTGCTGTGATGTGACAGTAGCTTCAAGTCTGACTTGGACTAGTGCCCGGCCTTGCCACGTCCTCGCTGGGTGGCTCTGAGCAAGTCAGTCCACATTGCCCAACCTCAGTTTCTCATTATAAAACAGAAGTGTCAGCTGTCCGGGGAGTCAGTAGTTGGGCTGGGGTTGAGCTCGGCGAGGGGCCCATGATCAGGGCCAAACAACTGGTCCCTCCCTTCTCCAGAATCCAGGCAGTAACCGTCTGGTGCCGTGGTGAGCACAAACCAGACCTTTCACTGGGTCCCAGGGGGACCATGGAGGGGAGAGAGGGACCTGGGCCTGGCATGGCCTTTATCAAGGGGCTTGAAATGAATGAGGTTATGCATTGGGGACTGAACTCAGGGGCCCTCAACCACTGAGCCACATCCCCAGCCCTATTATATATTTTATTTAGAGACTCACTGAGTTGCTTAGGGCCTCACTGCGTTGCTGCGGCTGGCTTTGAACTCGCCATCCTCCACCCCACTCCACCCCACTCCACCCCAGTCTCCCGAGCTGCTGGGATGACAGATGTGCACCACCGCAGCCGGCCTAACCCCTGGTTTACAGACAGGGAAACGAAGGCTCAGAAGTGGGCTGCACAGCCACTTAGCGTCCAACCAAGGGAACCCGTCCCTTGCCCCAAGTCATGGCCGATAGCAGGGTCTCTTTCAATGGTGCCATTTTCTAGTTATCACCTGCTGCTAACAAGCATGAGGCCAAAGATCCAGGGGCAGGAGGAGGTCTGCGGCTGGAGGGGGTCATGGGAAGCTGGTGTCCATTTGGCCAGTTCCTTGACCTCCTTGGGTCTTAGTGTCCTCCTCTGAGAGTGGGTGTATGGGCTGGAAGCCTCCATGATGGTGGTTCTGCATAGGGCTGTGTCTGGCCTGCTGGGGTCACGCATCCCCCACCGCTGTGCCCCCACAGCCTGAGGAGCTGACCAACATCTTGGAGATCTGCAACGTGGTCTTCACCAGCATGTTCGCCCTGGAGATGATCCTGAAGCTGGCCGCCTTCGGGCTCTTTGATTACCTGCGGAACCCCTACAACATCTTCGACAGCATCATCGTCATCATCAGGTACCCCTCCCCCACCTCCTGCTCTGCAGCAGGGCAGGGGACAGTGCGCGGATCCAGCCAGTGCACAGGTGATGAAGGAAGCCAACCACTCGGAGGCCGTCATCCAAATATATATATTTTTTTAAATTCTTGATTTAGCAATATATATGCTTCTGGATTAATGCATTAAATAACAAGACGTAGCGGCAGGCCCGTGACTACCGTCACTCTAAAGGAGGGATGCACGTAACAAACAAATATTCCACCCACTGTCATGTAACATAAAGATATCTGTTATTTTGATTGCCCAAGAAGTCCTCGGGACTGCTAATTCTCTGTGATTTGCCATTTATATTTGTAATCAGAGGAAGCATTAAACCTCCAGAGAGGACAGCGACGTTTATGGAGTTTTTAGATTTTGGCCATGACTTCCTGGTGGGGGGTCCCTGGAGCCGCAGCCAGCACGTTACTTTTGGGTGAATGAATTAGTGGATGAGTGGAAGCTCTCTGTCTCTTTGTCCTCCCGGCCTGGCCTCCCTCTGGCCCTGCGCCCCTGCTGGCTGGCCACAGCATCTGGGAGATCGTGGGGCAGGCAGACGGCGGGCTGTCAGTGCTGCGCACCTTCCGGCTGCTGCGGGTGCTGAAGCTGGTGCGCTTTATGCCCGCGCTGCGGCGGCAGCTCGTGGTGCTCATGAAGACCATGGACAACGTGGCCACCTTCTGCATGCTGCTCATGCTCTTCATCTTCATCTTCAGGTGAGCCCTGCCCACCCGGGGACCCCACTACAGGGCCAGCCAGGGCTGTGGGCAGGAGCATGGGGCAGTACATTCCTGTGGCCCTGGGCAGGTTCTTCCCAGGGAGCCTCCGTGTTCTCCTCTGGAAAATGGGACCAACACTGTCACCCGCCCCCACCTCCCCACCTTACTGTGTTGCCTGAGACCAAAGCAGGTGGGAAGGCAGAGCGTGGTGGATGGGAACCCTCGAGCCGCTCCCTCCCTCCCTTCCTCCCCCAGCATCCTCGGGATGCACATCTTTGGCTGCAAATTCAGCCTCCGCACGGATACGGGAGACACGGTTCCTGACAGGAAGAACTTTGACTCCCTGCTCTGGGCCATTGTCACAGTGTTCCAGGTGGGTGCATTTCAGGGGAGGGGATCCTGGGCAGCAGACCACCTGGGATGGGGTGGGGCTGAGGTTGACAGTGCCCATCCCTCCTGGTAGACAGAGGTGGCCCTGAGGGACCTCAGGACTGACTCGTCTCTCCCTCAACAGATCCTCACCCAGGAGGACTGGAACGTCGTCCTCTACAACGGCATGGCCTCCACCTCCCCCTGGGCCTCCCTTTACTTTGTCGCTCTCATGACCTTCGGCAACTATGTCCTCTTCAACTTGCTGGTGGCCATCCTGGTGGAGGGTTTCCAGGCCGAGGTGACCACAGCCCTGGGGGAGGAAGCGCCCCCAGCAGGGCCTGCAAGACTCTAGGCAGGGGAGAGGGAGCCTGGGTGGTGGGGGGCTCTGTCATGTCCTCAAAGGAGGGCTGCCCACGAGGCAGGGAGCCTCCGTCCCAGGAGGTACGCAGCTGGGGCCTGCGTCTGGGATTCCTGTTTCTCCCCCGAGGGTGAAGGACTAGGTCTTCCCATCTCTGAGACTCTAAAGCCCTGAGACCTGGAATTCTGGATCCTGCTCCCTCCATTTTCCAAGGCTTTGGGAATGCGTGCAGTCGGGCAGACGGGGGATTGTGGCCTAGATCCTCATTAGCTTCTACTTCCCCTTTCTGAGCCTCACTTTTCCCATCTGTAAAATGAGAGTGGAAACACCCATTGGCAAACCCAAGAGGGAAGGAGGGCGGGAAGGAGGGGAGTTGCCCTGCATGCTGACCGGCGCCCGCCTCCCAGGGGGACGCCAACCGCTCCTACTCCGATGAGGACCAGAGCTCATCCAACATGGAAGAGTATGACAAGTTCCAGGAGGCCCTGGACAGCAGCGGAGGTAAACAGGCCTCCACTCGTCACCTGGGGGCCAGGAGCCTTCACTGGAGACCCAGGTGGGCCCAGGGCACAGCATCTGCTCCCCTGGACCCCAGGCTCAGAGAGTGCTAATGCTCTGTGTTTGTTTTTTGTGTTACTAACTGAAAGAAACGCTGACTTTCCAAAAGAGGACATTCGTGGACCTCTGGGGTCCCGCCACAGGGCTAACTGCAGCCCACCCGCTTCCCTTCCCACAGTCTCTTGGGTAGAGCTGTGGGGCCTTCCGATGTGGCCTGGGCTGTGGTCCTGGCTGGTAACACGAGGCAGCTTGAGCCCAGCCACTCCAACCCAAGCCCGGGCTTCTGGGTAGCCCCTGCAGACGGCCTGCTTCCTGCTGTGGGCCAGGGAGCCAGGCTTCCTTCCCTTCGTACTGGGCGAAGGTCCAGGTTGGTCTGATCCCAGAGCCCTGGAGGCAGGGTGCAGGGGAGGCACACGGGATGAGGTGCAACCCGGAAGGCTTCCTGGTAGAGGAGTCTCCTCATAAAGTACTCCACTTCTGTTATGTCCACACCCTTTCCTTTGTCTTGTTTCCTTTGCTCTTGTTCTGTTCTGTCTTCCATCTGTCCTTCTCTTGCTTCTCCAGATCCCAAGCTCTGCCCAATCCCCTTGACCCCCAATGGGCACCTGGACCCTAGTCTCCCACTGGGCGGACACCTGGGTCCTGCTGGGGCTGTGGGCCCTGCGTCCCGCCTCTCGCTGCAGCCAGACCCCATGCTGGTGGCCCTGGACTCCCGCAAGAGCAGCGTCATGTCCCTGGGGCGGATGAGCTATGATCAGCGCTCCCTGGTGAGTCCTGTGGGTGGGGGCTCTGTCCAGAAGGGCCTCCCCCACTGGGATGTGGGTTGAAGGACCCCAGAGCCGGGTGCCTGCAACCTCAGCCTCACACTTGGGTGCACAGGCTTAGGACAGGGATTGCCCCAAGCCAGGCAGGACCATGTCTGTCACATTCCTGGGTGCCCAGTGCCAGAGTAGGACCTGGCAACAGGAATGACTGGGGTCAGGCACACAGAACTGGGTTTCATCTTGGTAGCAAACGTGTAGGGTCAAGAATTTGGGGTCAGGCAGACTAGAGCTGGAATCTGGCCTCTGTCACCTCTGAGCTGTGGGACCTTGAGCAAATTACCACTCTTCTCAGCCCTCGTTTCCTTTCCTGTAAAATAGGAAGGTGCTCTAGTTCCTCAAGGGAACCGAGGCAGCAGGGAGGGATTCGACCTCCAGGGGGACTTGTCCACGTGGGTGAGATGAGAGGCAGAGCAGGGAGAGGAGCCCCTGCTAGCCAGGCCGGGACCCTCTTAGAGCCACAGCGGGGCTTACAGGAGGCCTCACACCACGGGTGTGCGCGAGGACGCTGACCCGAGCCCTGGCTCCCCCGCAGTCCAGCACCCGGAGCTCCTACTATGGACCTTGGGGCCGCAGCGGGGCCTGGGCCAGCCGTCGCTCCAGCTGGAACAGCCTCAAGCACAAGCCGCCCTCGGCTGAGCACGAGTCCCTGCTCTCGGCGGAGCGCAGCGGCGCTCGGGCCTGCGAGGGCGCCCGGGAGGAAGCGCCTCCGCGCGCTGCGCCGCTGCATGCCCCACACGCCCACCACGTGCACCATGGGCCCCATCTGGCGCACCGTCATCGCCACCACCGCCGGACGCTGTCCCTCGACACCCGGGACTCGGTGGACCTGACAGAGCTCGTGCCCGCCATGGGCGTCCACCCCAGGGCCGCCTGGAGGGCGGCGGGCATGGCCCCCGGGCACGAGGACTGCAACGGTAGGATGCCCAATATCGCTAAGGACGTCTTCACCAAGATGGACGACCGCCGGGATCGCGGGGAGGACGAGGAGGAGATCGACTACGTAAGTGGGGATCCCTCGGGAACCAGGAAGAGCGCTGTGCAAGCAGAGGTGGGGCTCGAGGGGGCGGGCCCGGGGGCGTGGCCAGAGCGGTGGGGCGTAAAATTGTGGTCCGAGGGGCGGGGCCAGAAAATGAAGGGGGGCTGGGGGGGGGCTCCCCCGGGGAAGCGCTCCCCGCTGCCTGGGGTGGGGCGGGGTTCCGAGATCGCCCAGTGCCCAGTTGGCCCGAAGACCGGGTGGGCGGAGATAGGTCGCTGCGCGGTGCTGACCCTCCTGCGCTGGTCCTCCTCTCTCCAGACTCTGTGTTTCCGCGTCCGCAAGATGATGGATGTCTACAAGCCTGACTGGTGCGAGGTCCGCGAGGACTGGTCGGTCTACCTCTTCTCCCCGGAGAACAGGTGGGCCGGCCCCGCCTGGGGTGGGAGTTAGAGTAGGGGTAAGGTGTGGGAGGGAAAGCTCTCTGCCAAGCTGGGCAAGGCCATACCCCAGAGACGGGGGCGGCAGGACAGGGGGTTTCGTGGGCATTTCCTGTAGCCCAGGCCAGTTCTGTGCTGGCACCCAGTTGGGCAGATTCTCTAAAGGTCTGGGGTACACACATGAAGGGAGCATCAGAAGGCTTCCTGCAGGAGGAGGCTGGGCTTTGTAGGCAGATAACAGTCCAGTGGGTGCAGGAGGGAGGGGGAGAGGGGAAGAGGAGTGCGGAAGGAGGAAGCTGGTCCAGGAGGAGGGAGCAGCTGAGGGACTACCTGGGTGTTAGGAAATGTGGTGTCCTTGTCTCCGGAGGACTGGAGTCTGGGATTTGGGCCGGTGTTCAGAGAGCCTTAAGTGCCAGGCAAGGTGGGTACCCTTTGCTGTGTGGGTGTGTGGTCTGCACCCTGAACAATGCAAAATCGGCACCTGTTGTGTGTCCAGAGGAGGAGAGGGATCACTTCCTCTAGGCCATCCTGCCCCTTGTGTGTGTGTGTCTGCATCCTCTGCCTCCCCTCTGGTCAGGATGGGAAGCAAACTGACACTCATGGTGCCCTGCCTCTGCCTAGGTTCCGGGTCCTGTGTCAGACCATCATCGCCCACAAGCTCTTTGACTATGTGGTCCTGGCCTTCATCTTCCTTAACTGCATCACCATCGCCCTGGAGAGGCCCCAGATAGAGGCCGGCAGCACTGTGAGTAGCCACGGCCCTCAGAGAGGCCAGGCAGAGAGATGCAGCACCAGGCCTGCCCTGGGACAGTGAGCCAGACCAAGGGAGAGCTCAGCAGGGCCAGACTCCTGGCTCGTGGAGGGAGGGAGATGTGGCAGGGAGCTTGCCTCTGGGAGGGACAGGCCACCTTGAACTGAGAAGTGTTGGCCTCTCTGGCTGCCTCTTGGCTGATGGAGAGCGTGAGCCGGTGGCTGGGAGGTTTGAGCCCCTGGGCCCACCGCATCTCCCGGCTCTTTCAGGAACGCATCTTCCTCACGGTGTCCAACTACATCTTCACGGCCATCTTCGTGGGCGAAATGACACTGAAGGTTGCTCTGGGCTTCACCTTCACTCCCAGCTCGGGGGCCCCTGGCCCAGGCCCCGCCCCTCCCGCAGATTATCACTGGCCTGTCAGTCAGGGCCCGCCCCTGGGTTGGGCTCCTGGGACCCGGAGGGGTCAGCGGCAGGCCCCCTCTCCGGGAGTCACAACCTCGCCAGAAAGGCGAATGCAGGGAGAAACAGTGACCGTGTAACGGGGGAGATGCTGGAGGTGCGGGGAGCAGGGGAAAGGTTCCCTCTGGGACGCTTTCCAGCGCGGTGGCTTCGCCTTGGGTTTGCCAGAAGTCCCGGGAGAACCTTAGCGGGAGGCTCCCGGGGCCTGACTCCTCCCCGACCCCGCCCATCCCAGGGTCTGCGTGGAGCTGTCCCCTGCCCACTCGTTCTCGCCACCTGTCTGGCCCAGCCCATCTGTCCCCGCGTCCCCTTCCCGAAGACCCCCCCCCACCTCGTCCTCCCCTCGCCCTCGCCCTCCCCTTGGGCCTGACCCCGCCCCGCCCCCAGGTGGTCTCGCTGGGCCTGTACTTCGGGGAGCAGGCGTATCTGCGCAGCAGCTGGAACGTGCTGGACGGCTTTCTCGTCTTCGTGTCCATCATCGACATCGTGGTGTCCTTGGCCTCGGCTGGGGGAGCCAAGATCTTGGGGGTCCTCCGAGTCCTGCGGCTCCTGCGCACCCTACGCCCTCTGCGGTGAGGACCCTTCCCCGGTGCAAATCCCCCAGGTCTAAGCAGGCCCCTCACTCCTGCCCTTGTGACATGTGACTCATTTTGTCCTCCGATAGCGCACGTCTTTCTTTCGTTTCTTGGTACTAGGAATTGAACCCAGGGGCATTGAAACATTCAGCCACATCCCCAGCCCCGCCTCTATACACACATACATATGTATGCATTTATGTGAATATATAATATACGTTTAATATATACATAAAATGTATATGTATTTATTTAGAGACAGGCCTGGCTGAGTTGATGTGAGGCTGGCTTGGAACTCCTATCATCCTTCCTCAGTACCACCCCCCACTGCCACCGCCTGGTTACCTGTTTCTGTCTCTGGGTGGCTCACTGCTATCTCTGGGACTAGGCACAGTGACGGGAGGGCAGGTGCCCTTCTCCCTGTAGATCTGGGCTGTGGCCTGGCTCACCCCCTGGTCTGCTGACATCTGGGCACCTGCTTTCTCTTGGTTCCTTGCTGTCTTCCTCATGCCCTAGTGGGCTCAGTCCTGGAACTCACTCGGGGACTCAGCCTGGCTGCCTCCCCACAGCCATGGGCTCACAGCTCCCCGCCCTCCTTGCCCGCAGGGTCATCAGCCGGGCCCCAGGCCTGAAGCTGGTGGTGGAGACGCTCATCTCCTCCCTCAAGCCCATTGGGAACATCGTCCTGATCTGCTGTGCCTTCTTCATCATCTTTGGCATCTTGGGGGTGCAGGTGAGGAGGGTGGGAGGGTTCTGAGGCTGTGTAAGGGCACAGCCAGGGCAGAGGCCCCACCTGTGCTGGCTGACCTTGGGGCTCAGGGGAACCCAGTGGAGGGGCCGTGGTCCTTGCCTGAGTACAGGGCGGGCTGGGTAGACGCAGTCTGAGGCCTGGGTTCCTCTTGTGATTTGCAATGCCCCTCCTCCTGGGAGCACTGACCTTGCCCTCCTTATCCCCAGCTCTTCAAGGGCAAGTTCTACCACTGCCTGGGTGTGGACACCCGCAACATCACCAACCGCTCTGACTGCATGGCTGCCAACTACCGCTGGGTCCATCACAAGTACAACTTCGATAACCTGGGCCAGGTGTGTGCTGGCCACGCCCCCTGGGGGTGACAGCTCTTCAATGCCTATGGCCCTGAGATCTCAGAGCTGGCTCCAGTCCTGCCCTGCCAGGACTGTGACTTCTCTCCAAGCCCAGGTTTCCTACTCTGCAAAACGGGTGGAGGAACTGGCCCTCACAGGTAGTCTGAGGCTGAGATTCCAAATGCAGGTCCCCCCCCCCCAGTGCCTGGCCCGCAATAAGTTCTTCACTGAACTTTGGTCCTGGCCTCTGCCCCCACCCAGGGGGTCCTGACCCGAGTTGTAGAGTCAGCTACACCTGGTTGTGCGTTCCAGCTCTGCTGTGGAGTGGGGCGTGACCTCTTTGAAACTTGGTTTCTCATCTGTAGAAAGGGGCAGCAGCTGTGGGAGCCATCAGGGTGGCAGGCTCCTCGATCCAGGGTGGGTGCCCTCACCATCACCCACCCTGTCTGTACCCCATCCAGGCTGGCAGGCCTCACCAGAGCCCCTGTGCCCCTGGTCTCTTCTCCTGGAGGCCTGCCAGGCCTGACCCAGGGGCAGTGCCCCAGAGGCGAGTCCTCAGCTAGCTGCCTCCAAAGGGCCCCTCCCCACAGCCAGTCCCTCTGAGGGCCCTTCAGGAGCTAGGTCCAGGTGGCCCAGGCAGAGAGTGCCTGGCCCTGGGGCTCCCAAGGACGGAGCAAGATCTGGGCCGCCCTCTCCCACGCTCTCTCTGGGCAGCCCCTGGCTGGGTCGCCCGAGCTCTCATTCACAGGACTGGGCACCCCCACACCAGCTATGGGGGGAGCCAATGGACCTTGAGGGGCTGTGGTGGCCAGGAGACCATGTCAGAAACTGACTGTTGTCAGCTCACCCCACCCCTTCTCCAGGGGCAGCCATCGAGTGTTTAATAACTCAGTGTTTGGTGAACAGGGAAGGGCGCTGAAGGAAGCCGGGGGGGCCCTTTGTGAGCTTGCTTCTGGTCCCAGGTCCCCACCTAGCGCCAGCTCCTGCCTCCTTGGAAGGACCTGGTCTTTCCATTCTGGTTGCACTTGACCCCAGGCTGACTCCCTGGAGCCCCGAGCGGGTGTGCTCAGCGCTGAGTCTTGGTTGACTCCCTGGGGGGCACTTCCTGTTCCCTCAGGAAGTTCCAGATCCTCTCTGTTCTGCATCCTCAACTCTCAGTGGGCACAGCGGTGGGGGCCTTGGCATCTAGGGGCCTCCTGTACTTCCTCGCCGTCCCCTGCCTGCCTGCCACTCGGCCTGAGCACTTTGGGGGCACCCTCAGCACCATTCCCCACCTGGCAGGGGAAGAGGATGGGAGCTGTGCCCTAGAGGGTGGGAAGGGTGGGCCGGGCAGGGCCTGGCTTCTTGTCCCGGGGTGGCTGGAGCACAAGGGAAGGTGTGACTCTCTGCCCTGGGGAGGGGGCTTCCTGGGCAGACCGTGACTTCTGGGCAGCCCTGGTTATGTGGGGGCCCTTGTGGCCCCTAACCCTCCTTGTGCTCTGCTCTGCAAGGACAGCACAGGAGCCCTCACCCAAGTTCAGTGCAGAAAACCTTGGTTAAGCACCTGCTGTGTGCAAGATTGTGTGCTGGGTGATTTGGGACCAGCCTGTGACCCAGTTGAAGGACACGAGGACTCTGGCCTGACATCCATGTAGGAGCCCTGGCTGGCTGTCTCCCGTGGACCATCCCCTTTTCATATTTTACAGACCCAGAGACCTCAAGGAATTTGTCCCAGGTCGCCCAGCCAGTGAGTGGCAAAGGCTGGGCGGTAAGCCAGGGATCCTGGCTTCTCTCTCAGGAGATCCTGACTTCAAGATGCCGAGGGCGGCCTAGGGATCACCCCCGGAGTTGTCAGGAAGCTTCTCATTTAAAATCTCAGTGGCTCCTCCCAGCGGCATTTACTGGTTCCCATTGGTGGGTGAGGAACAGGAGCACACAAGTTTTCGTGTTTGCGATCACACGACTGGTTAATTTCAGGACTGCAGCTGGAACTCAGACCCTGGGCTCTTCTTCCTGCACAGTAGCTATAGGGCACAGGGCAAGCACACAGTAGGTCCTCAGGAAGGTTTGTGGATTGAGAGCATAGCTCTGCCACACAGGGAAGCCCTCTTTGTCCCTCTGCCTCCCAAAGGCATTACAATGGAGAGCTGGAGATGCAGGTGTGGCCTGAGCCCCCTTGTCCCTCACTTCGTGCCCTCCCTCCCTTGTCTTCCAGGCTCTGATGTCCCTCTTTGTCCTGGCCTCCAAGGACGGCTGGGTGAACATCATGTACAACGGACTGGATGCTGTGGCTGTGGACCAGCAGGTGGGCATCGTGGGGCTGAACAGCAGGGAGGGGTAGGTCGCCGTTGGGGTCCGGTGGTCTGAAGCCTGTGCCAGGGGTTCTGGTGTCTCCCCGTGGTCAGCCCCAGCACACCTGTGACCAGCCTGTCACAGCACAGCCTCAGGTCCTGGCTGATCGTCACCCAGTGTTAGTGTACGCCATGGTTCCCTTCCCTTCTAGAACCCCTGCTCTGTACAGAGGAATCCCAGCTGGCTCCTGCCCAGAGGGGCGCAGACTCTGGGGGAGGAGGCCAAGTGCAGAAGGGAGGGCTGACCAGCTGGCAGAGGGAGAGCAGGTCCCAGGCAAGAGTCACGGGGAGGCAGGAGGCCAGGAGCGCTGAGTGTCCATGAGACCCCCCCTGGCCATGGCAAGGGGCAGGAGTTCGTCCTGAGGGCACAGGGAGCCATGGAGAGTGGCGTGTCCTGCTGCTCAGGATGCCGGGGGCCCCTCCTGGGCTGTAGGGTGAGGGTGGGCCTGGGGATAGGGACAGGGTGGAAAGGGTTGGGGAGAAGTCTGGGCCTGAGAGAAAGCCTGGGCCTTGGCTCCAGAGGTCCCCTCTGCGTCTAGGCAGTGATTTCAGGCAAGACACACGCTGACCAGGGTTGGCTGTGTCCAGACCTAGGGAGCTTGAGGGGCTGGCTGGGAGGAGCAGGGCCAGCGTCTAGGTCAGGACAGGCCCACTCTGGAGGAGTCGGGCTGCAGGGATTCCAGGCCTGTGAGTGGCCTGTGGCTCTTGTTCTTATGGTCTTACCTGGTTAGACCCCAGAGCTAGAGGTGGTTGGGGGCATGGTGGGGAGGACACTTGGAGCACCTTCCTGCACCTGCTGTGTGCTCTGTCCCCCACCCCAGCAGTACATGGGCACGTTGCGTTGTTTCTGGTTGGAAGGATAAGGGTGTGTACGGGTGTGTTTATATGTGTACGTATGTGTGAGTGGAGTGGGGGTGGGGAGGGGTGGGTAACTGGATGGTTGGATAAGTGAAGGGTGGGGGGGTGGATGGACAAGTGCATGGATGGATGTACAGATAAGTGGATGGACAGATGGGTGAGTGGATGGATGGATGGATGGACAAGTGGATGAATTGTAGATGGACAGTTGGATAACTGAAGGGTGGGTGGATGGATGATGGATCAGTTGATGGGTCTATGGATGGGTGTATGGACAGATGGATAGATGGACGGACAGATAAGTGGATGGACAGATGGATGGACAGATGGATGGGTGGCTGGCTGGATGGGTAAGTGAAGGGGTCGGTAATAGATAAGTGGCTGAGTGAATGGGAGAGTGGATGGGTGGGTAAGTGGGCGGGTGGAGGCGGATGCTTGCCGAGGTGGGTGGACGCTGGGTGAGTGAGAGGGCAGGTGGCTGTGCCCAGGAGCCAGCAGTTAGGTTCGGTGCCGGTCCAGCTCTCAGCCGTGGCTCTGCTCCCCGCAGCCTGTGACCAACCACAACCCCTGGATGCTGCTGTACTTCATCTCCTTCCTGCTCATCGTCAGCTTCTTCGTGCTCAACATGTTCGTGGGCGTGGTGGTGGAGAACTTCCACAAGTGCCGGCAGCACCAGGAGGCGGAGGAGGCGCGGCGGCGCGAGGAGAAGCGGCTGCGGCGCCTGGAGAAGAAGCGGCGCAGTGAGTGGGCAGCGCGGGGGCCGGGGTGTGTGCTGTCGCCCAGCCAGGCCCCGTGACCCCAGCTGGTGCTCCTCTGGAACCGAGGCTTGGGCCTGACCCCAGCCTCCAGGGAGCTGGAAGGAACAAAGGATGTGATCCTGGTGGTGGGACCTGGCCCTTCGGCCTAACCAGGTGGCACGAGCCCACTAGGGTTGGCTGGGCCGTCCCACCATCAGCAAGGACAGGGCTGGAGGTGGGTCAGTCCAGGCAGAGGGCAAAACCAAAAAAAATCTGGCCAGGCATGTGGTGCACGCCTGCAATCCCAGTGGTTCAGGAGGCTGAGGCAAGAGGATCGAGAGTTCAAAGCCAGCCTCAGCAAAAGCGAGGAGCTAAGCAACTCAGGGAGACCCTGTCTCTAAATAAATACAAACTAGGGCTGGGGATGTGGCTCAGTGGTCCAGTGCCCCTGAGTTCAATCCCCAGTGACAAAAACAAAAAAACCAACATCTGGATGCCTGGCCCTGAGCCATGGGCCCCCTGTCCACCCCCATCTGGCAGCAGAGCCCGAGTACCTGCTGAGGCCATGTTTGGGGTGTTTGGTGAGAATCTGTGTCCTGCTCCCTTGGCCTCCCTCCGCCACCTCTCACTCTTCCCCTCCTGGCACCCTGGCTGGGGGGCCTCACTTTGCTCCAGAGTCTGGGTGACCAGGGGGTTTTCCACCCCCAGCACCAGCCCCTCTGTGCTTTGTCCCCTTCCCCTTGGTTCCAACTGTGGTCTGGGCCACTCTCCCCACTGCAGAGGCCCAGAGGTTGCCCTACTACGCCACCTACTGTCACACGCGGCTGCTCATCCACTCCATGTGCACCAGCCACTACCTGGACATCTTCATCACCTTCATCATCTGCCTCAACGTGGTCACCATGTCCCTGGAGCACTACAACCAGCCCACGGTGAGCCCAGGGTTGCTCCCAGTTCACGGTCACAGGGTGAGAATGGGACCTTAGCAGAACCCCACCACAGGGACAGCATGGGCAGGGGGTCAGCTGATAGCAGGATCTGAGTCACCCCTCCATGTGGGGCCCTGTGCTGGGCACTGCAGGGGGAGGAGGCTCCAGACAGCCTCGCCCCGAGGGAGCTCAGGACAGCCTCGCCCCAGGGAGCTCACAGCTTGGTAGGGCAGATGCCCGCAATGGAATGGTCAGAGGGAAAGGCCACTTGTGCTTGGTGGGTGGGGGAGGTGACATTTGGGACAGCGCGACCAGTTCCTAGAATTGCAGACAAGGTGCACGAGGAGAATGTGAGGGGCACGTGTATTCTAAAAACCTCAACTTAATGGAGTTGGGAGGAAAAGGGGGAAGAGCCTCCAGGGGAGGAATTCCGAGTGGTAGCACTGTTATGGATGAAGGGAAAGGAAGGAGACCCTGGTAGGACAACAGACACAGAGAACTTCCAAACTGACATGAAGAAACAGGATTCATGCTGTGCCCAGCACTGAACATTAGCTCATTTAATTTTCACAGTAATTTCCCAAGACAGATGCTGTTATTTTCCACAATCAGGTTAAGAAATTGTCATAGGGACCAAGAACTCACCTAAGGTCACACAGTGAATAAGGAGTAAATGTTAAGCCAGGATTCATATCTATGCTGTCCGGTTAGGAAGTCCTTGACTGCTAACCCAGACTGCCTCCAAAGAGGACCAGCTGCACCAAGCCAGCACAAGGAGGAACAGGGAACAACAATGAAAAATGAATAATCTACATTAAAGAAGATGGAAGGAATAAAGCAAATATATGTATTCATACATATAAACATATATATACACATATACAGATAGTGTGTGTGTGTGTGTGTGTATGCCCCCATTGGGAAGGTGCCCATGTATATATGCATATATTTGTACTAAACATGAATGGACTAAATTCTCTCCTAAAAGGCAGAGATTTTATGACTGGCAGAAGGTTGTTGGGGCAAGGTATGGGCTCTGGATCATGCTTCTCTTTGTCCCCTGGTAGTCCCTGGAGACAGCCCTCAAGTACTGCAACTACATGTTTACCACGGTCTTTGTGCTGGAGGCTGTGCTGAAGCTGGTGGCATTTGGCCTGAGACGCTTCTTCAAGGACCGGTGAGTGACTGGGCTGGGTGGGTGCAGCAGGGTGGAGAAGCAGTCCTGGCCTCTTGAGAGACCTGCAGAAGCCAGAGGGGAACCAATAAGCACCGAGACATTGATGGCCAGGGGCTCCCAGCGGCTGCCTATATCCCTGAGTAGGAAGTGCTTAGGTCTCACCTTAGGTGCAGGGCATTCCACCAGGCTCCCCTCGGCCTCCAAGCCTGCATGCTAATCTTCCTTTTCAGAGAGAACAAGTGAGGCTCAGAGAGATGATCAATGGGTCCAAGGGAAAAGGTGGGCTCAATATTGAGATTTAGGATGGGTGCGGTGACACACACCTGTAATCCCAGCAGCTCGGAAAGCAGAGACAGGGGAATCCCGAGTTCAAAGCCAGCATCAGCAATGGTGAGGCACTAAGCAGCTCAGTGAGGCCTCTGTCTCTAAATAAAATACAAAGTAGGCCTGGGGATGGGGCTCAGTGGTCGAGTGCCCCTGAGTTCAGTCCCCAGGACCAAAAAAATAAAATAAGATTGAGATTTAGAAGTTGGAGTTCTATGCCTCTTACCCTGAGGAGGCCAGAGATGTTTATTTAGCTTGGTTGACCCCTTGCTTGGGGAGCAGAGGTCATGGGGGCATAGAGAGGGGACTGGACTCAGTGCATTTGGAGGCTGTTTGGGAAGGTGGTCACAGATCCCAGAGGGCCACAATAGGAGGGTGGAACCCTGAAGGCTCCCCAGCTACGGTGTGTCTGGACCAGAGTGCTCCTCCCCCGACTCCCACTCCTGCCCTCTGCCTGTCGAGCAGGTGGAACCAGCTGGACCTGGCCATCGTGCTGCTGTCCGTCATGGGCATCACACTGGAGGAGATTGAGATCAACGCTGCCCTGCCCATCAACCCCACCATCATCCGCATCATGCGGGTTCTGCGCATTGCCCGGGGTGAGGGGCAGCGGCTGCCAGGGCAGGGAACGGGGGGGCAAGTAGGGGCAGGATGAGACGCTCCATTCCCAGGGAGAGTCTACAGCGGCGGGGTGACGTGAGGGACTCTCTTTTGAGCAGAGCAGGAGCCAGGAAGCGCCCAGCCCCTCGCACCTGTGCCCACCCTCTGTCACCTCGTCACACCATGATCCCTGTGTCTAGTCTCAGACTGACAGAGCTCTAGTGGCTGCCTGGCATTGCTGCCAAGCTGGGCTGGGGACACTCAGTCCTCAGCACTTCCTCTGATCCCCTTGCCTCTCCCCAGAGGTGGGGAGGGCGTGCAGAGATTCAGGAGGGATACGAGTCCTCCTTCGCCCAAGGGGATGAGGGGTCCTGGGTGCTCACGTTGGCTGCCTTTGCCTCCTCGGGGTTAATGACACGCTCCTTCCCACCTGTTCGGACCCACTCCCTATGGCTTCTTCACACCCACGTCCCCACCTCTGGCTGTGCACACCCCAGACATGGCATCCAGGGGCAGCCACGGGCAGGGCAGGCTCAGCTTGCACGCTCCCCCACGTTCCACCCGTCCCCGTCGCACACATCTGCACATGCTGTGCACACTCAGTCCCTTGGGGCTGGGCTGAGCCAGCGGGCTGCGTGTCACCCACAGTGCTGAAGCTGTTGAAGATGGCCACGGGGATGCGGGCCCTGCTGGACACCGTGGTGCAGGCTCTGCCCCAGGTAAGAGTCGCTCCAGGAGGAACCTGTGGGAGGCCACGCAGGGGAGGGGACAGAATGAGACCCTGGCCTGGGAGGGGGACCTTGAGCAGTCAGTGTGTGCCAGGCCCCACTGCCACCCCCTCCCCAGTGCCTGGGGCTCTGCTCAGGTGGCCTGGGTGCTGAGCCCCCGGGGCATTCACTGATTCATTAGGACTTACCCAGTCTCAAGGGCCTTTGGGGTCTTAAGACCAGCGGTGTAGACACAGCACACTCAGAATGAGAATGAAGACGGCCCAGGGAAGGTGGGGGCCTTGCTGGGGACGCCAGTGGGTTCTCTTCTCAAGTTTAGTGTGAGCTTCCTGGCGGCCTGGTTACAGAGGGAGGGTGACAGGCTCTCCTCCTGTCTGGTGGGAGAGGAAGGGCATTCGCTCAGAGACGGGCTTCCCCCTCACACATGGGAGATGGCAGGGGTGGGGTGCAGAGCTTGGGGGTGTGCGGCAGGAAGTGAGCTGGAGCCACCAGGCTTGGGATCAAAGTGTGGGCGCCAGGCATGCGTCTGACCTTCTCCTGCCTCGGTCTCCTTGCCCGTGGAGGGGGTGCTGGCAGTGCTGAGGCTGGGGGGCCGGGGCAGGTTTGCACACGGTGGCAGCTCGCCGAGCACGGGCAGAGCCTGCTCCACGCGGTGCCGGCTGAGCAGCTGGAGGTGGGAGCGGGTGTGGTGGTGGTGGGTGCCCAGCCTCCTGGCTCCCTGCTGCGCCCCTCTCCTGAGCTCTGACCCTGAGCACCCTGTCCTGGCCCCCAGTGCTGCGCTGGCGCGGGGCACGTGGAGGTCCAGGAGGGTCCAGCTTTCCATAGGAGGTAGACGGTGGTCATTACAGTCACGTCAGCACTTTAGGAGAGCACGTGACAAGTATAGTGTGTCCATGGGTCGGGGGGGAGAGCTTGCCCACGACACCTGCTGTGTGGACAGTGGACATTTCCTCAGTGGTACGTGAAGCCTGGTGGAAAGGAGACCTTGACCCTTTCCGTGCAGAGGGAGGAGGCCTCAGGGAAGGCTCCTCAGAGGAGGTGACCCAGGAGTTGGGCTTTGAGGCGTGAGGACGAGTCATTGAGCAAAGACAGAGGGAACAGGGTGTGCAAAGGTACCACGGGGTCCTTTCCCACAGGATTGAAGTCCCAGGTTCAAGATCAGGCTGGGAGGGGAACCCCAGGCCAGGACAGCAGACCTTGGTTCTGAGGCAGTAAACTTGGACGTTATCCTGCAAGGACGGGGTGCCACAGGAGGGTCTGGGCAAAGGAGGCCTTTTAGAAATTTGCCCTGATGACTGTGAGGAGAATGGAGGGGAGAGTGGAGGCCATCCAGGCCCTGGGGTGCTGGGGTGGAGGGAGAAGACTGATGGGAAGGTGAAGGGACCCTGGTTAAGGAGCCCCCAACCCTGGGCCTGAGCAGGGCGAGAAGCTGAGCTCCGAGGGCCTCTGCCACGCCAGATCCTTCTCAGCTGCCAGCTTCGCCTCCGAGGTGCCCACTAAGTGCTTGTCTCATTAGTGAACGGAAAGTGATTTAATGAGCCAGACACTGGCTTGGAGAGCGGCTGGGAAGGAAACTGCTCTGGAGCCTTCGTGATCAGGGGCTCACTTTCAGCAATTAGCAGGAACGCGCCTGATCCCACTCACCGGGCCTTCGGAGGGCCCGGGAGGGATGGCATTTCCAGGGCAGAGACAGATGGGCCTTACCTTATCGGTGGCTCCAGGTGAAGGCGGTCTCAGGCGGGGCCGATGGAACAGGGTTTGGAATCTGGGGCGTGTCCTTCAGCGGGAGCCATGGGACACCACGCTGGCTGCGTCTCTGGTGTTCTGTGCCCACGGGCTGCGGGCCGTGAGGGTTGTCTGTTCCTCTCCGAGGCCCCGCGCTGGCCTGAGGAGCCACAGAGGACTTCACCCAGTCCTTAGGAGCAGGGTCTTCCCAGACCTGCAGAGGACAGTGCCAGGGCACACCTGTTACAGTGGTGCTGTCGGGATGTGTTCATTCCACCAGGGGAATCCAGGCGGGCTTCGCAAAAAGGTGGCATTGCCGCAGACTCCTGCGTGGCCGAGGGGCGTGGCTGGGCGTGGCCTGCGGGTGGGTGTGGCTTGGGAGGATGGTTCAGGGATGCGAATGAGCCAGCCGGGTGTGGAAACAGGTGAAGACTTGGCTAGCGTTTCATTATTCTGTGCCCATGCTGTCCCGCCCACCCTCCAGGAGGTCGCGGGGGCAGCCATGGGCACACAGCTGGGCCTTTGCTGCACCCTCCCTGGCCAGGGCCACCGCCCCTGCCCTCTGCCCACCCAGCCCCTCTGCTGCTGACCACTGGCCCCGCCTGCCTCTCCCTGCAGGTGGGCAACCTGGGCCTCCTCTTTATGCTGCTCTTCTTCATCTACGCCGCCCTGGGGGTGGAGCTCTTTGGGAAGCTGGGTGAGTGACCCCTGAGGCCTGCTGGGGTGGGGCTGGAGGAGGCCCTGGCAGCCTGGGGGAGCCTGAGCCACCCCTCCACTCTGTCACTGTACTGAGAGATGCCCCGGTGGGTGGAGCCTGAGCTTCTATGGGTGGCCCCTGGCCCACATGTGCTCCTGGCCTGTGGTGGTCCCTTAGGCCCCAGCTGTCTGGTCCCCAGGGACCCTGTCATCCCCTGCCCCTGGGCCAGTGTCCTTCTTCAGCCAGGACCTCCCCAGCAAGCAGAGGGGCCCAGACAGGGCAGAGGGCAGCGTGGCACTGAGCTCAGCCCTTGGATCAGCCCCGAGGTTAGCTCCAGAAAGTGGGTTCTCTGAGGGGCTGGCCCCTACCCCACCCCATCCTCTTTCAGCCCTGATTCTTAGGTTGGAGGAGAAGCTGGATGCTCCTGAACCTGAGCCCCAGCCTGCGTAGCACGTCCCTAGCCCGGTGTCTCTAGCTGTAGACAGTCTGCACGCACCGGGGGTCACGGTGGGGAATCTGGGAGGAAGCTGGGGGCCCCCTCAGGTTGGGCCGTGCAGGGGGCTCTGTCTGTGGGACGGGCTGAGCCCCTCTCTGCTTTCAGTCTGCAATGACGAGAACCCTTGCGAGGGCATGAGCCGGCACGCCACCTTTGAGAACTTCGGCATGGCCTTCCTCACACTCTTCCAGGTCTCCACGGGCGACAACTGGAACGGGATCATGAAGGTGCTTGTGGGCGGCCTGGGGAGGGAGGCTGGGGGCGTGTTCTGAACTGAGTGCAGGTGCCACTCCTGCTAGTCACCGCACCCTCTTGCACACCCAGCGTCCTCTTGCACACCCAGCGTCCTCTTGCACACAGGAGAGGAGTAGAGGGACCTGCCTGGGGCCCTGCGGCCCAGCAAGGTGGCTCTGAGGCCAGGACAGGTAGTGCCGTTCTCTAGGGGACGGACCTCTGCAAGAGCCCGGCAGGAGGGTGGAACATGGGGAGGCACCGTTTGTCACCCGCTGACAGAGGTGAGGCCTTGGCCTCCTGGGGTGGAGACTGGCAGCCGAGTGTCCCTTTCCGCATCCCACATGGGCCTCTCTAGAATGACCCCAGCAAGTGAGAGGGACATCAGGGCGGCTGGGAGGAGGCGGGAGGAGCAGCCCCCTCACAGGGGTCCCGGCAGGTGGCGAAACCTCCCCTGCTTTGTTGGTTGGGGGTTGAGGTGACCTAAGAGCCAGACGGCAGGGACAGACCCCCTAGAAGACCCCTGGATGTCCTGGTTGGGCCTGATGGTGGCCCTGGGAAGCAGGGGGTGAAGTGGGTGGAGTGAGCAGGGAGGTGGCAGGGCCACTAGGGACCCAGCTGAAGCCGCGGCCGGCAGATGCCACCACAAGCCAGGTGGGGTGGGGGCCGTGAGGACCTGGGGGGGGTCGGACTCCTGGCTGTCACCTCACGGCTCCCGCCCGCAGGACACGCTGCGGGACTGCACGCAGGAGGAGCACAGCTGCCTGAGCAGCCTGCAGTTCGTGTCGCCGCTGTACTTCGTCAGCTTCGTGCTCACCGCGCAGTTCGTGCTCATCAACGTGGTGGTGGCCGTGCTCATGAAACACCTGGACGACAGCAACAAGGAGGCGCAGGAGGACGCTGAGATGGACGCCGAGATTGAGCTGGAGATGGCACATGGCCTGGGCCCCAGCCCGCGGCCGCCCCCCAGCTCCCCGGGGGCCCCAGGCCGAGGGCCAGGGGGGGCGGGCTGCGGGGGTGACGCCGAGGGCCACCTGTGCCGGCGCTGCTACTCCCCAGCCCAGGTGGGTGGCCGCCTCCGAGGGCGCCAGGGTCCCCAGGAGGCGGGCACTGTGGGCTGGGGGACAGTGGGGCTGGGGAGGCCTCCTACAGAGACCTCTGTCTTTTGGGGCCCCACCATGCTCAGCTCCAAAAGGGGTGACCCTGTGACGAGGGGACAGGGTCCAGGCCACGGGCGCAGAGACCGGGAGGGCAGCTCTGCCCCACCCACCCGCAATCCCGGGACCCGGTCGATAATCCCACCTGTCCCCACCCCGTCCCCGTCCGCCTAGGAGAACCTGTGGCTGGACAGCGTCTCTTTAATCATCAAGGACTCCTTGGAGGGGGAGCTGACCATCATCGACAACCTGTCCGGCTCCATCTTCCACCACTACGCCTCGCCTGCCGGCTGCGAGAAGTGTCACCATGACCAACAGGAGGTAGCAGCAGCCAGGGAGGAGGCTGGTCCTCGTGTGGGTGCCGTGAGGCCTGTAGGGGTCCTGCTCTGGGCCCCAGAGCCACGTGGTCCTGGAGGCTGGGCAGGTGGCCTCTGCCCGAGTCCCCGCAGCTTCCTGTCTCTCTGGGGGGGGGCACAGGGCTCTTGCTGGGGAGCCCCAGCCTCAGAGATCAGATCAGGTGAGATCAGTGGCCCCAAGTTCCCAGGGTCTCTGGGCCCTGCCTGTGACACACTGAGCAGGAAGTCCATCCAGGCGACAGGAGCCGACCTGGCCCAGCCTGCACGGGCACTTGGAGGTAGGCTACCAGGCTGGGCTCCCTTCAGAGGTGACCCCGTGTCACATCGTGGTCACTGTGCCCAACAGGCCCCTAGACCTCTCTGAACACTGCCCTCTGTCCTCCCTGAGTCCCGTCACTGGGTGCTCTGCTTCCCAGGCCTGCTGCCCCCGCCACAGGTGACCAGGCACCGTCTCTCCCGCAGGTGCAGCTGGCCGAGACGGAGGCCTTCTCCCTGAACTCGGACAGGTCCTCGTCCATCCTGCTAGGTGACGACCTGAGCCTCGAGGACCCCGCGGCCTGCCCGCCTGGCCCCAAAGACAGCAAGGTGAGCAGCCCCCAGGCCCCTGCACCCTGTGCCGCCCTTCAGCAGGATTTGGGGTGTGCAGTGGCTGGGCTCAGGCAGGGTGCAGCCTAGTTAGTCGTCCTTGACTCTGAGAACAAGTCGTGGAAATCTGGGGGTCTGAGTCCATCTGTCTTGAGGGGCATCCAGGTAGCTCTGGAGGACCTTCTTGGCAGGGCCACCCTGGGCTGCGGGGCTGAGGAATGCCAGAGCTCAGTGCTGAGGCCAGAAAGGAGGGTCATGCCCCCATTTACAGATGTACAGACAGAGGCTCAGCAGAGGGAAGGGCCATCCACGGCCATGCGACAGGGAGGCTGCTGTGGCCTCTCCTCCTGCACCCTTGCCTCCACTGCCCTTGGCTTGGCTTCTGCCCTGGGCCAGGGTCTGCACAGGCCCTTGGTTCCAGAGGATGAGGGGGATCTGCTGCCCTCAAGGATCTAAAAGTCAAGAGGAGAGAAAAAGGGGAACCCCTGGTTGGGGTGTTGGAGGGAGCTGCCTGGAGGAGGGGCCCTTCCGCTGAGAGATGGGAAGGTGGCGTGTATTGAGGGTGGGGGAGGGGAGGTGGGGCCTTCCAGGCATCGAGGGCAGATGGAACCAGGGACAGAGCAGCATGGCCATGAGGTGGCTGCGGCAGGCCCAGCCTCTGTCCCCCCTCCACCTTCCTGACCTGTCCACCTCCCTTTCCTGCAGGGTGAGCTGGGCCCGCCTGAGCCCACACGGGTGGGGGACCTGGGCGAGTGCTTCTTCCCCTTGTCCAACATGGCCATGTCCACGGGTGCAGAGAACTTCCTGTGTGAGATGGAGGCAATCCCCTTCAACCCTGTTCGGTCCTGGCTAAAACACGAGAGCAGCCAAGGTGAGGGATGGGGGCCCCCAGCCCCGCGAGCCTGATCTTGGGCATCTGCTTCAGACCGAGGTGGTTGAGTTCTTCCTTGGTATTTTTGCCCAGACTGTTATATTTATTCCAGAAAGTACCAGATGGATATCTGACAGTGAGATAGACTCTGAGGTTTGATATAATTATGATAAAATATCAAGAGCCAAATGCTCCAGAGATGAGATAATAATTATAATAGGAGCTAGGCTAAGCTAATGCTGAGGTTCCTAGGAGCTGTGGTGAAAAGGGAAGCAGGTTGTGCACACAGTTCTCTTTGTTAAGCAGAAGGAAAGCCGCCTGATTATTGAGTTGTTTTGTAGAGGTAGGGGACTGAGCCTGCCTGTCCCTTGGGCTCACCTTTGCCTGTAGTCGTCTTGGAGGGTGACAGGTTCACAACACTTTCTGGGGAAGAGGGCAGAGAAAAGAAATCCAGCAAAAGAGAGACCCCAGACTCTGAGCCCACCCCAAGGCCTCTTGAAATGTCTGCCCTGGGTGCCTCTGAGGTACTGGGGTAGGTGCTTCTCCAAGGACCCTCACTAAAGCTAATAGCTTCTCTGCTGGACATGGTGGCTGAGGTGCCGAGACCACCAGACTTCTTTTTTTTTAATACTTACTTTTTAGTTGTAGGTGGACACAATCTCTTTATTTTATTTTTATGTGGTGCTGAGGATCGAACCCAGTGCCTTGTGCTTGCTAGGCGAGCACTCTACCCCTGAGCCCCAGCCCCCACCAGACTTCTTGAAGTAAAAATCTGGGCATAGGGTTGGACCCAAGAGCCTTTTTGATTGAATGGAATCTCATCCCCTTAGTGAACCATTTCTGTTGCCTTTTTCCTTAAACAATAAAGCCGTGTAGACGAGGAATCCCACCTGGGGACATTCAGGCTGTATGGCCATCTGGGGTGCCTACTTATATATTTCCAAATCCTGTGCCCACCCCATCCTGAAAGGTGTGGAGGGGACTGTGGGGAGGCTGCTGCTGCTCGTCCTCCCCAGCACACCCAAGCGCTGCCCTGGCCTCGGGCTCCCCAACCTGTGCCTCTCGCTCCATCCCCAGCACAGTCGACTGCCGGACCCTGCAGCTTCTGTCTGCTGGGCTCAGCCAGTGCAGGCCCCTGCCCAGAGCTGGGAAGGTCAGCCCTGACTGTTGTCCTAGAGGGCCAGGCCCCTGGGGTGACAGGCCTGAGGGCAACTATTGCTAGTGAGTCAGCACTTACTGAATCCTTGGTTCTGGGGGAGACTCTGCCGCTGCTGCTTATTCAGGGCCTGCTGGATGCCTCCAGGTAGCATCTGGTCTGGTTTTCACAGGAAGAGACATGGTCAGGCCTTGAGCCTGGTCTGCTTGGCTCCTAAAGCTGTGGCTCTCTCAGTACCTGTCCTCCAGGAGTCACTCTGGCTGGCTCAGTGCTTCCTGCTGTCACAGCTGGCTGACTGAGGCTCAGAGAGCAGGACTCGCTGTGGCCCTTCCCTGGCCACCCCGTCAGAGCCTGCTCAGCGCCCAGCCTTCAGGGCCACCTGCAGCCTGAGCCTGCCCCAGCTCTGTCTGTTTTCTCCTCGGCAGCGCCCCCAACCCCCTATTCCCCAGATGCCTCCAGCCCACTGCTGACCATGCCTGCCGAGTTCTTCCACCCGGCTGTGTCTGCCAGCCAGAAAGCGCAGGATAAGGGCGCTGGCGCTGGGACCCTCCCCAAGATCGCCCTGCAGGGCTCCTGGGCATCCCTGCGGTCACCGAGTGTCAACTGCACGCTCCTCCGGCAGGTATGGGCACCCCCTGAGTTCATCAGAAGGGGATTTTGTGGGGGGTGGGGCTCTGGGTGGGTGTGGCAGGGGCTTGATGGGAACAGAGGTGGAAGGTGGGGCTACTGGGTATTGGACTGCCTGGAGCTAGAGCCCCCATGTCACCGTGCACACAGAAGGACCACAGCACATAGTGCAGAAGGACCACAGCACATAGTGCAGAGGCCAGCAGACCATTTGTGGTGGTGGAGGCGGGGCTGGCAGGCACTCCTGCCTCATTTATCCATTTAGGGATGGCTGACCCTGGCTGTGTCCTGGGGTGCCTGGGGTGCCAGGCGGTGTGCCCCAGCAGGCAGCAGGCACAGTTTCCCTGCCCCAGGGCTGATAGCTCCTGTTTGGAGTGTGTGCAGCCGGGTGGGCGCAGAGAAGATAACTGTCTACATAGTGCAGTGTATTGGGAAGTGATGCATGCTGGGAGAGTGGGCACAGGGAGGGGCTGGGCGTGGGGGGCTGGCGGCCTTTCTGAGGAAGGTGGGGAGGTGCTGGTGGAAGGTGGGCCTGGAGGACAGGGGCCCTGCGGGTGTGAGCCCCTGCGGCGGGCCTCCTCCTCCTCTGCCCAACCTCATGTCTGGACTGAGCTGGCCCCCTGTGAAGGGCAGGGCTGGGTTCTGACTTGGGTCTGAGAAGATAACTCTGGCTGCCCACTGAGTGAGGGGCAGAGGGACAGGGTGCCTCCTGCAGTGTCTGCCACGAGCCCCCATAAGCTCAGGTGTGGCAGAGGGCAAAGCTGTGAGACCTGGGAGTTCCTGAGGGGTTGGAGGGGCTGCGCCCACCCCAGAAGGATGGGCCCCTTCCAGCTGTAGGGACTCCGAAGGCCCCAGCCCCTCCTCCCTCCTGCAGGCCACCGTGAGTGACACGTCGCTGGACGCCAGCCCCAGCAGCTCGGCGGGCAGCCTGCAGACCACGCTGGAGGACAGCCTGACCCTGAGCGACAGTCCCCGGCGCGCCCTGGGGCCGCCCGTTCCGGCCGCCGGGCCGCGGGCTGGCCTGTCGCCGGCCACGCGCCGCCGGCTGAGCCTGCGGGGCCGCGGCCTGTTCAGCCTGCGCGGGCTGCGCGCGCACCAGCGCAGCCACAGCAGCGGCGGCTCCACCAGCCCGGGCTGCACCCTGCACGACTCCATGGACCCGTCGGACGAGGAGGGCCGCGGCGGCGCGGGCGGCGGCGGCGCGGGCAGCGAGCACTCGGAGACGCTCAGCAGCCTGTCGCTCACGTCGCTCTTCTGCCCGCCGCCCGCGCCGCCGCCGCCCGGCCTCACGCCCGCGCGCAAGTTCAGCAGCACCAGCAGCCTGGCCGCGCGCCCCGCGCCCCGCGCCGCGCTCGCCCGCGGCCTGGCGCGCAGCCCCTCGTGGGCCGCGGACCGCAGCAAGGACCCGCCGCGCCGGGCGCAGCCCGCCCTGGGCCTCGGCCCCGCGGCGCCCGAACCGCAGCCGCCGCCCGGGGATCTGGAGGCGGCGGACGCCGCGAGCAAGAGGAAGAGATGAGGGCCACAGGGACCGCGCCGGACGCCACTGTCGCCCGCCCGCCCCGTCTCACCTTCTTTTACCTCAGGAGCCAGGGAGCAGACAGCAATACTCGGTCCCCACCCCGGAGCGGGGCCGCCCGGGCCCTGGCGCCCGGGATTGAGGAGGGTCGGCCAGCGGGGCTCGCGCGGCCCGGCCCCTCCGGCGCATAGACGCATCTGTACGCAGCATAGATCCACGTAGACAGACGCATATATTTATTTTTTCTACTGAGAGCTTATGACTTCTAGAAAGTGCTAGAGTTGGGGGCAAGGCCGGGCCCTGTGCTTAGGGCCAGGCCGCCCAGGGTGGATGGCCCTGCCCGGGTGGGGCAGCCGCAGTTTGGGTGGCTCCCGGGTTGGGAGCAGCTGGAGGGATTCTCAGGGCTCAGAGGCCCGCAGGCCCGGAAGAGGTGCAATTCAGGGTGCACTTTTTTTTCCCTTTAAAGAAGAGACGCTGCTAAGATCTCCCCTCCACCCAAGTGTCGGGGTGTCTGTCTTGTCCTCTGACTGTCTTGTTGTTGTGAAGTCCTTTGTAGACACCTCAGAGCACACAAACTCCCTTAGTCAACCGGTTAGATGTTTTCTTAGGAAATCAGGGGCGAGTAGTCCTATTTTCTAAGGGCAGGGGTTAGGGAGAGGGCAGCTCCAAGGCTGGCAGGGGGCCCTAGTGCCAAATGAAGTCCTGACCTCTGAGCACTCTGGGGGGTGGGTTTCTGCCCCCTGGAAGGCCATGAGCTGGGATAGCTGCTTATATAGGATAGAGGACACATGAAGGGGCACTGAGCAGATTTCAAGGGTCAAGGGTACCCCCTGGTCCATGCAGGTGCCCCTGGACTCAGCAGTCAGTTGTGTGGGACTTACTGGGTTGTGCTCACCCCCCACAGCAGCTCTCCTTCCCTAGTGGAGTTCAGGGTACAGCAGGTCCCACGGGGTTCTAAGCAGGGAGCCACCTGCCCAGGCCTAGGGACCAGCCCCCTCCCTCCCCTCAGCTCCTTCACCCTGGAGACCCAGGTCCTCCGACCCCCTGATGGCCCATCCCTGGGTCTCTGTCTCACTGTCCCTAAGGTCAGGTCTCTCTGTAGGAGTGCTTTTCAAACAGGTTCTGGACGGGTGTTTTTATTTAGATAGTTATGCATTTTTCCATATTTATTAGAAAAAAACATAACGTGTTGAACCTGTGATTTCACAGGCATAGTGCTTAGGTCAAGGCTGAGTTCTAAAAAGCAAGTCGATCTAAAGTCAGTTTAAGGAAGGAGCTTGGAATGCGTTGGCAGTGGTGTCTGCAGATTTAGCAGAAATGCAGCAGGGTTGGCAAATGCCATGCTTTGGCTGTTGGGGGCCTTGGCCTCTGCTGACGCCTGCCCAGCTGTAGGGGATGTCCTTGCTCCCAAACCCTGACTTCAAAGACCTTGGCTTCCAGAGGGCTGTGTGGACAGGCTCTGGGGGAATTCTAGGCTGCCCCGGGGACCCTTGGGGCCTGGGTGCTATAGCAGAGTGGAGAGGAGGTGGGTGATGGGCTTCACTGCCTGGAGGCCCTTCTCAGAGCTGAGGGGTGGGGGGGGAAGTGTCCTCAGGCCCACTGTGCACCTGAGGAGACCCAGGCCCAGAGGGGAAGTGGCCCTGGGGTCCTGCAGGGCCTGGCAGCAAAGAAGCTGGGGTACCTGTGAAAGCCAGTGGAGGGCCAGGACCTCACACCTGGACAGTGTAAAAGCATCCCAGATCTTAAAGGTGGGCGATTTGGGGCGTCCAGCCTGGCGTAGGGCTGGTGTGCCCGTCACCTTCACAGGGACAAGTTCCGACACTGTCCGTCAGCCTCTGTTTTTCTGGGCCCAGCCTCTGCCATCTTGTTTAATCTGCAGGGCGGCCCTGTGGGGGGTGGGGGTGCTGCTCCAAGCGGACTTTCCAGTGTCACTTGGTCCTCAGTGGCCGGCAGGGATTACGTCCCTTCACCCTGAACTGTGTGACCCTGCAATAAGCAGGCACGTGAGGAGGACATTATAGGCAAAGTCCAGGCCCAGCCGAGCAGGGCACGCGAGAAGGTGGGAACAGCTGGACCTGGAGGCAGAGAAGCTGGGCCCCTGCGGCCGGCTCCGGCAAAGTGCCGAATGCCGATTCCAGGCATTTGCCCTTGTTCCCGTGGGTGTCAGGGACCAGGAAGCCGAGAGGCACCAGCCTGAACGCTGAGATGAATGTGGGTTGGGCAAACGGTCCCTCCTCCCCCTCCAACTCTGTGACCTGGGCTGTGTCCATCACAAAAGCACAAACTTACCCTAATCCACTTGGGCCTGGCTGTGGGGAGGATGGGGTTCCCGCGCCAACTCCCCTAAAGCTGTTTGTTTGCCAGGCTCTGTGGAGTGGAGACTGGTGGGCACCTTGGCATCTGCAGAGAGGGCCTCGGGACAAGACGGGCCGCGGCCTGCCCCTGGCCACGCTCCCTCCTTTCCCTGCAATGTCCTCTGCCCCAGGCAGCCTGTTGAAGGAGGACAAAGCGCACAGTATCAGCCTGTCTGCCTGTCCCTGTCCCTCCCTGGGAGCCTGCCGCTCCAGCCCCCTTTGCTGCGCTGTGTAAGGGCTTGGGGTCTTAGAAGCCACTGTTTAGCCCATACACACATAAATATTTCTGTCTTTGTGCAATAATCAATGTTTCTGGCAGAGCCAGAGCCAAGCTGGGGCCTGCGGAGGAGGCAGAGGTCACTCCTCCAGGAAGCCCTCGGCTGGCTCGGCCGCTGTGGCTGCAGCACACCCCCACCCCATCACTGTACAGTTTCTATGGTGTGAATGAACTTCCCTCCTAGTTGCTGACGGCGCTGGTCCCTGCGGGCCCGGATGGCCCAGGCGTAGAGAGACCAAGCGGCCACCCCACCAGTGTTGTTTTGAATAAAACCCAGATACCTATTTAGGACTTTCTCCACGGGTCTTGGCTCTTCTTTCCTTAGACGGGGGTGTGTCAAGCTGGGTGTCTCCCAGGGAAAGGTGTGTGGCCTGGGGGGGGGGGGTCGGGGACCTAGAGACGCCCTAAGGCAGGTTCCTCTCCTGGCTGGGGTGTGAGTGGGGACCACCGACCACGGGGCATGGGAGGAGTCGGAGTGGCTTTCACTCTCTGGTGGTGTGGCTGAGATCTAGGGCGAGGGGGTCACATGGGAAGACAATCTCGTCACCTTTGGCTCTGTTTTCTGAATTCATATTAGCATTAGACTTTCTTGGCTGCAAAAGATGAAAACCCAACTCATACAGGCTTAAGAATGAAGAGACACACAAAAGGAGGAAGAGAAGGGGAAAGGAAGGGAGGAAAGAAAAAGGAAAAAAATAGTGGCTCGAGTTATGAAAAAGCACAGAGATAGGACTGGCTTCAGGTTTGGCTGGATCAAGGATTCTAATGTGTCACTAGGATGCAGTCCCTCTCTGTTTCTTGGCTTCTACATTTGCTTCCCTCGTCTCCATGAGGCCACCAGCGGCCTGGGCCTTTCCACCCATGCCAGGTGAATATGAGTCTGTCCAGACAGCCTGGCATGTCCTTGGGGAGGCCTCTCACTCAGCTTCACTGGGCTCCAGGCTGTGGGGATATTGCTCAGATTGGTCAGTCCCAAGTCACCAGACCCCTCTGAGATCCAGGAATGGGTGACCTCTATGCCACAGCCTGAGAGCAGGGAAGGGAGAAAAGGCCAAGGAAATGGGGGTGTGCTGCTGGCAGAGGGGGGTGCTCTGGGCAGCAAGGCCCAGAATTCCTTTCCTCCGGTCACGTCCCCTGGGTAGCGTGGGTCTCTTCCCTGCCCTTCAGCAAGAGGCCAAGAGACCCGCAACTTCGATGCTGGATGCAGATGCCTGTGCTCCTGGCCTGGCCTTGTCCACCTCGGGCACCTGCCTCACTGTGGGCGCAGGCCCAGGGGCCCGAACACGGATGTGCTTCCTGTGTGAGGGTCTGCATGCTCGTGTGTGTGCACGTGTGTGTGCAGACACCAGCGCCGGCTCTGCTGTGGGTCTGTGAACAGGCCTGGCCCAGCCCTGGTGGCCTGGCCGGGTCCAGAGGGGCTTCTTAGATGGCCAAGCAGGCCCCTCTGCAGAGCAGGCCGCGGCCCTGGGTGTGAGAGCAGGCCCCTGGCGTGGCATTCGGGCCAGCAGCTCTGCGTCCTGAGCCCGCTGCCTGCGAAGCTGAGTGCCCAGGCTGACAGGTGCCTGGCAAGCCCCACACCTCCAGTGGCCTGTCTCCGGTCCCCTGAGGCAGGCCTGCTGGACTCCTCCTCTGGGGTGTTCTATAGGCGAGGGGTCTCGGGCTCAGTGTCCAATCACTTCTGCCAGTCCCCTGTCCCTCCTGGGCCCTGGGCTTCAGAAGGCACGTCCCTGGAGACCTGGTATGGCCTTGACTCCCCCTTGCCTCCTTGGACATGGGCCCCTCCCTGCTCTCTTCTTGCTACTGTCCCCTCAGGCCTTATCACCCTGTGCGGCCCTGGGTTATCATGCCACCTCCCATGTGTCCTGCCAGGGCCAGGCCCTGTTCCCGGTGCTCTCCCGAGCACGGACTTCCTGGCCCTCTGTGGGCCGGGCTGGGCACAGCCCACAACCCTGGACGGAGGAGGCCTGGACGCAGGACCATCGAGGACCACGGGGCCGGGCCTGCTGCTCTCTGGGCTGAGGAGGTTGCAGGCTCTTCTGGAAAATGGCCCCAGCACTGCCCACCATGACCACCCAGCTCAGGTCGGGTGCTCCAGACCAAGGTGACCGTGTGGCTGGACCAGAGCCATGTGACTGGCCAGCGTGAGAGGTCCAGGGGCATGATGGGGGGGGAGCAGAGGAGAGAGTGCCCAGTGGAGGGTGGCACAGCCCGAGGCCCCAGAGCTGGGCCTTCTGCTGAGCACAGCCCGAGCCCGCTCTGCTCTACCTCTGACTGGCGGACTGCAGGCTCCCCCTGGGCAGGGGACACTGTGACTGATGGCTTCCCCAGGCCTAGGCAGGCAGCCACCCTCCTGCCCGTCACTCCCTGGGCTCCTCCCCACCTCCTGCTGACCCCCGCTGCACCCCACGCTGTCCCACCTGCCCCCAGCCCACGGAGATGACTGTCAGGAGGACGGTGCCTTCCTTCCGGGCCTCTCCTCCCCGCCTTGCTCTGCAGACCTGAGGCCAGGCCCCTCCCGGGCGGCCCTTCTTGGGTGGCTCCCTCGGGCTAGAGGGCCTTGTGGGTGCTGCTGCCCACCCACCTCTACCCCAGCCCGCCTTCCCCCGGGCTCAGCCTGGTGCCCCCACTGTGCTTGGGTGGGTGCTGCCCCTCTGCCCCTGGCTCCCCTTTCTCCCCCCACCCACCTCTCCTCCCCAGGGATGTGTCTGTGTCCCCACTGGCCAGCCGGCCAAGGACCAAAGCCTCAGGAAGTGTCAGCCGGTGGCTGCTTTAAAACCCTGTCACTTCTCCACCTGAGGAAACAGGCCCAGGGAGGCACATGGCTTGGATCTGGAAGGTTCCCCGAAGCCTGATGTGTCGAGGACTTGGTCCCCGGTGTGGCCAGGTACTGAGGTGGGGACTTGGGGAAGTGATCAGATCCTGAGGGTCTGTCCCCAGCGCTGGACTCACCCCGAGGGCGTAGTGATCTGAGTGGACTGCGGTGGGTGGCATGATGTGGGGAGGCCTGGCCGGGCCTGCTTCCCGGCTGCCATGAGCTGACCTGCTTCCTCCCGGGCCCCTCTGCCAGGTGCTGAGCCTCACCTCAGGCCCGAGTTGTGCAGTTGACCGAGCGAGCACCAAAGTCTCTGGAACCCGGAGCCAGCACAGAGCGCTTCCTCCTTTCAGTTGTCGGGTGTTTGAGTCACAGCAGTGGACACCCGGTTGCTCTGGGTCACACCGTGAGGCGGAGGCCAGGGGAGACCTCTAGGTGGGGAGCCTGTGTCCAGCCCTCCCATGGCCGCCAGGGCCCCAGGGGCAGAGCCCGTGGTGTTTTCCTCTCCGTCACCCATTAATAATGGGATTAAAGCAAGTTCCTGCCAAGGAGAGAGACTGGCTCTTAAGAAACAGCTCAAGCACATTGTAAGAGTGAAAACCGTCGGCCATCAGCACTTTTTACCTAGACCTGAATTCATGAATGTTAACCAAATAATCACAGGCACGGAGCTCTAATGCCTGCGATTATGCACAACCACCATTATGGCTGTAATGACAATTAGATTCCGGCTCGGCGGTGGCTTCCAGGAGGGAGGAGTCCTCTGGTTTCCAGCGCTGTGACCTCGGATTGCCGTTGCCATGGCAGTGGGGCTGCGTGGGAATCTGTGGACAGGAGACTGGTCTTGTGGGGAGGTGCAGGACAAAGGTCCCTCCTCAGCCCCGAGCCTTAGTCAGAGCAAGAGGCTGGGGTGGCAGAAATGGCCAGTGCCCAGGGGCCCCTGCTGACTTCATCCCTTACCAGGCAATGGGCTGGCCCTGTGGGACACAGTGCTGTCACCTTTCAGTAAATATTAGTTGAGCACCTGCTAGGTACGGGGGATAGAGCAGTGGCAGGTCCCTGGGCGTGCTGAGCCCACAGCTCAGGGGGGACAGATAAGAAAGCAGACAGACATAGGAGCCTGGTCATCTCTGCCTGCGAAGGGCCAAGAAGGCACGGAAGCTGAAGTGACCGGGAGTGCCTGGAAGGGGTCCTTCTGCCCGCGTGGCCAGGGGAGGCCTAGCTGGGGAGGCCCGCAGGACAGCAAGAAGAGAATCCCGCAAAGGCAGTGGTGACCCTTTCAGAGAAGACAGCGGGGTAGGCAGAGGAGACACGGGACACAGCTAAAATCGAATTTCTGATAAATCACCCATAATTCCTAGTGTGAGCCTGTGTCACGCATCACCGAGACAGGCTGACCCTAACAGGTCGTTTGTTGCCATCTGAAATTCACAGGTACCTGGCCTCCTGGATTCGTCTTTGCTACATTCAGCCAGCCCGACAGAGAGCAGAGCTGCCTCCCACTCACCCCACGCCCTGCGCTGTCCTCCTGGAGGGTGGCTCACAGGTCCCCAGCCTGTTTCCCCTAAAAGCCCTGGGACTGCGTGAGGTCTGCAGGGCCCTGGGGCACTGGTCCTCACCCACCGTCCAGTGACTTCACTTCTCCTGCCTGCTTCTTCATCCCCACCCTCCTGCACCACCCTTCAAGGCCTCGACCCGGCTTACTGTCCAGAGAAACTTCTGTGCACCTTCCGCTTGGTCCCAGCCTGTGCAGACGCTCGGCACTTCACTGTCTGAAAATTAGCCATGCATATTTAAAATTTTTAATTAATTAATTTATGGTACTTGGGATTTAACCCAGGGGGACTTTAGCCACTGAACTATGTTTCCAGTTCTTTTGTTTTTATTTCGAGACAGGGTCTTGCTAGGTTGCTGAAAACCTCCTAAGTTGCTGAGACTGATCTTGAACTTGCAACCCTCCTGCCTCAGCTTCCTGAATTGCTGGGGTTACAGATGAGCACCATCGCACTGGCTATAAATTTTATTATATAAAATATACATAACAGAGTTTCTCCTCTTAACCATTTTTAAGTTCTGCTGCATTGAGTATATTCACAGTGTAATGATGCCATCGCCACCACCCGTGTGCAAAACCTCTTCCTCTCCCTGGACTGAAATTGCAGCCTCTAAACACCAGCACCCTCATCCCCCATCTGCCTCCCAGCCTCTGGCAGTTGCCATTCTTCTTTCTCTGTCAATTCCAAGTACTTCATAGAGTGGAATCTAAGTATTTGTCCTTTTGTGATGGGAGAGTTTCACTCTGCACCATGTCCTTGAGGTTCGTTCTTCCTTTTTAAGGCTGAGTAATATTCATGGTGTGTGCCCGCCATATTGTTTTTCTGTTTGTTGATGGGCACCTGGCTTGCTTCCACCTTTTGGCTGTTGTGAGCAGTGCTGCTGTGCATTTGGGTGTGCAAATCTGCTCAAGTCCCTCTTTCTCTTCCTTAGTGTGCATTCCCCAAGTGGCATTGCTGGGCTAAGGGTAGGTGCTAGGTTCATTTCCTGAGGGACACCATGCCGCTTTCCACCTCGACTGACTGTCCCACGCTCCCACCTCAGGTGCTGGGATGGATGAGGCGTAAGTTCCTGGCCTCCTGTACTTTGTGTTTCTCTCTTTTCTTCCCCTCCTCTCTTTAGCTTGCTCTAGTCTGCTTGCCTGGGGGCGGGGGTGGGGTGGGGGTGAGACTTCCACTGTCTGGACTCCCTGACTTACTTCCAGAAGCCCAAAGAAGGACTCGGAGGGCTTGCAGAGGAGGGAGGGGAGAAGCAGGGAGGGAGAGGGCCTGCCGAAGTCCCCAGGGCCACACAAGGCCTGGAAGAAGCTGGAGCCACAGTCCCCAGGGCATGGGCTGGGCGGGGCTGGGCGGGGCAGGGCCCTGCTTCTAATGCCTGGTCACAGCATGAGGCAAACCCTCGGGTGGGATACACGGGCAGAGAAGTGGGGCCTCCCTGTGCTCCCAGGAGGGTCAGAGCCTCCTCCACACGTGCTGTGTGGCCGGGCAGATGGCTCCAGCTCCGGGCTGTGCCCTCTTCCGAGCAGGCTGGGTCTGGCTGGCTGCAGTCAGCTCCTGGGCCTGCTCCCTGGGCAGGTCTCCTTACCTTGGGCCCAGACCTGAGCGCTCTGAGGCGGGGCTGAGGCCCTAGTGCTCCCCGGCAGGTGCTTCTCCTGCAGCAGCGGAGTCCTGGGGCCGGGGGTTCAGTGCACTTCTTGGGAGCCTCTTGGCCCCCCGCAGCCTTGCGCGTCTATTCTCATCCTTCTGCATCCAGGCCCGGGGTCTGTCTGTCTGTCTCTTTCTGTCTGTCCAGGCTCCTTGGCCTCCTTCTCACGGTGCGGGTACCGGGCAGCTAGCACCTCAGGCAGGGTGCCCTCACCTGGCTGGAAGGGGCTCCCCATCTCTCACACGCTCCTTGGGTTCCAGTCCTGCCATCTGGCCCTTGGGTGTTTACAGCCCAGGGTGGCCCTCGCTGCGACAATCGGGAACCATGTGCTGTGCTGGTGCTGAGAACAGGGGCGCCCTCCCAGATCTAGAGAGCGCCAGGCTGGGGCTTCTTGTCCCCCCATGCGCCACCCTCCACGTGCTGCTGAGGGGCACAGGACTTCCTGGGGGTGGGAGGGGCTACGTTGGCCCTCGGGGTCTCAGTCAGCTTCTTTCCACCAGGCCACATGGAGGGACATGGCCCAACACCTGTCACGGTGGTCCCTTCCATCTGTCCAGGTGGGTGCAGAAAGGGGGCACTAGGGTGGTGTTCCCAGCTGGTGATGGGTAGGCCTGGGGGTCCGAGATGCCCCACCCAAGGGTCCTTGATGGCTTCTCAGTTGGCTCACCATGACACCACCTCCGGGAACCTGTGTCCTGCCTGTGTCCCACCCCCCAGCCTGCCAGCTGGATCCGCTGACTTCCTTCCAAAGCATAGAGTATGTCAAAGTGACGGGTGTCATGGTGGGTGACAGAGATGGCTTCCTTCTTGCTTGCCCACTCCTGCTCTGTGGAAGCAGCAGCTGCGCAGTCAGCTGCCCTGGAGAAGCCCACGCGGGGGGGACTTGAAAGGTGTCTCCCTCCAGCCAACCTCCAGGGGCCCTGAGGCCCCCAGTCCAGTGTCCCCGAGATGCTGAATCCTGCCCTTGCTCCCTGAGCGGCTGTGAAGCGGATCCCCCAGTCGAGCCTCAGCCTCAGATGAAACTGCAGCTGGAGGGTCTGCTCACCCTCCCCTGGTTCCTGGCCCACAGAACTGCGCAGTTACAAATGTGGTCATTTTTAGCTGCTGAACTTGGGGCAATTTTGTACATAGCTGGGAACTAATACAAGGACATTTTTTTCTGTGCTCTGAAATCATGTCCTATGTATCACATGACAATCTAGAAAGGGCAAAATTAATCTGTAACACAAAAGTCCCCTCAGAACAGTGGTTGGCTCCTGGTGTCCGGGCAGAGTTGTCTGGGAAGAGGTTTGGTAAGAAATGCCCACCCTCCTCTTCCTCCTCTTCTTCAGGTACTGGGGATTGAAACCACGGGGCACTTAACCACCGACCCACATCCCCAGCCCCTTTTAAAAAAAATTTTTTTTTTGAGTCAGGGTCTCGCTGAGTTGCTTAGGGCCTCACTAAGTTGCTGAGGCTGGCTTTGAACTCGCGATCCTCCTGCCTCAGTCTCCCAAGCTGCTAGGATCACAGGCGTGCGCCCCTGGCTAGTAATGCCTTTTATTCTGATAGCGCTTTGATTCGGGTAGCACTTTTATTCTGATAGTTCTCAGGTGTAAGCTTTTGTCAAAACGCAGCCAGAGCTTTTCAAGGCAGGTGCCTTTCACTGTCTGTGACCGAAGCATTCGGAGAAGGTGCGCGGTGTCTTCAATTTGTTGTGAAATGCACTGAGAAATAGGCTGTAGCCCACGGGGACAGAGGGCTGGAGGGCCAGCAGGTCTGCGCTGAGACACTGGAGCGCCCCGCAAGTGGCCGCCAGCTGGGGGCGGGCTGGAGATTTCATAATAAGATCTTGTAGAAATTCTACCTCCCAAATACTCACAGCGTATTTAAGGGGGAAAAGTCGGAACCCTGCTGGATAGTAACTGGTCAAGGCCGAGGCTGTTTCTTTCAGTGTGTGACTTCATTTCCTTCCTCCCTGGAGGGAAGCAGTGATGGTTTCCATTTGCATTTGGGGAAACTGAGGCTGGGGGAATCAATCAAGGGCAGAGCTGGGGTTTCTGCCTCCCCAGGACCCAGGGTGGAGCTGCGTCGGCCTAGGGGGCCGTCTCTGCCTGGGCCTTACTTCCTCATCTCTGGAGCAGGATGCAGACGGCCAGGTGGGTGGAATCGGGCGCCATTGGCCTGTTTCTCGGGGCTCACTGCCCGGCTCTGGACGGCCTGGGGCTGTTTAGTCAGCTGTCTTCACTGCTGTGACTAAAGGACCCGCCTAAGACAACTGCAGAGGAGGGAAAGTTTATTTGAGGGCTCATGGCTTCAGAGATCTTGGTCCATAGAAGGCTGGCTCCATTCCTCATGGCGGGAGAGTGGTGGAGGGAAGCAGCTCACACGATGATCAGGAAGCAGAGAGACTCCACTCACCAGAAAAGATATGTCCCCCAAAGCCACGCCCCCAATGCCCCCCTCCTCCAGCCACACCCCACCTGCCCCAGTTACCGTTCAGTTACTGCCATCAGGGATTCATTCACTGACTAGGTTAAGGCTGTAACCCATCATTTCTCCTCTAAACCTTCTTGCTCACATGTGAGATTTTGGGGGACACCACACCCAAACCATAACAGGAGCCCTCCTGGGTGGGAGGCAGCCTCAGGACCCACCAGGCCTTCTCTTTGCCCTGGGATGTATGCCTTGAGGAGTGTGGGGCGGGAAGGAGCAGGAGATGATGGGCTTCTACGTGGACTTTGTTCCCGAGGCCTGGCCTCCGGGCAGCTGTGGCCTGAATGTGGAGCAGGCAGAACACAGCGACTCTCCCTCTCCACTGGCGGCTTTGGGGCAGTGCCACCGAGGTGCAGTTTCCGGGCTCTTCTCTCACTGAGTGTTTCCTGGAGAGAGGCTCAGGTTGGGCCAGGTGGCCACTGCGTCCCCCCGCCTCCTATTCCTGCAGCTCCTGCTGCTTGGGCATTTCATTCTGGGGGGGGTGACAGGCTTGGGGTGGGGTGGGGGAGGCACCATTCCAGAAGAAAGCACAGATGTCGTAGCCTGTCATTCAAGGATAGTCCTAAACTGGCTGAACCTGTCTCAGTGACATGGCCCCTGCTCCTCTCTGTTGCAGGAAGCTGTGCCCTGGACTGTCACACCTCCAGGCCTGGGCCCTGGCCATGCTCCCAGCCTGCATGACCCCTAGCACCTCACTATCCTGGAGAGCCAGCTCCCCAGAGCCTTCCCTGAGCCCCAGGTGGAGTTGGCTGTCCCTTCTCCTGACCTCACGCTGTCCCTCCACCCTCCTCTGGGACCCCCAGAGTGGGCCTGAGTTGGAAGCCCCCGGCTATGCCCATCAGCTCCAGCTGCCATGACAGAATGCCATGGCTACCCAGGGTCCTGGAGGAGGGACGTCCAGCAGCTTTGGCTCTTGATGAGGTTCTTGGTAAGTTCTCTTCCTGCTCGAGGTGGTGCCTTCTCTCTGTGTCCTCACAGGCCTTCTTTTTCGAGCCTAGACGAGAGAGAATGAGCTCTGGTCTCTTCCTATTCTTGGCACAGGACGGGGGGCTGGGGACACACCCAGTTCTAAAGCAGAGACCCACAGGGGCTCCTGAAAGACGGCCCAGGGTCTGCTCGGGGGCCTCTCAGAAGCCTGGTTTGGCTGACGCATCACTGAGGGGGTCACCACAGAGACAGGACACATAGGGCCGCGAGCCGCATAGCAACAAGTACGTTAGTGACTGGACGACACAGCCTGAATGTTTAGGTTTACAAAAGGTCACGCCGGGATGTTTGCACCAAGACAAAATTGCCTAAATGAAGCCTTATCAGAATGTATCCTTATCACTGAGCAACAATGATTTTATAGAAACATTAGAGAGAGAGGGAGGGAGTGAGGGTATTAGGTGGGCGGGCGGGGCGGCGAGGGTGGGGCAGGCTGGACTGCATGTCCCAGGCTTGAGGCAAGATCCCGATTCTCCGGAAAGCACCAGTCTTCGCAGACGGGGCCTTCAAGCCATGGATGGGCCCCCATGTTATCCAGCTCAGTCCCTTTGCCGACCATCAACTCGCTGAGGGTTAAGAACATCTAGACCAGTGTTTGAACACGTGCCGCAGCCCAGCCAGGCGGACACAGGACACACCGACACACCGTCGCGTCCCAGCAGAGCCTGTTCCTGCGCTTGGTCTCATCAGCAGGGGCCCGTGACTTCCCCTGAGGCTGCTGAGAAGGTTAGAGGAGCGTGTGAGCGTCAGGGTCTTAGCTGGGTCCTCCAGCCTGCCGTGTCTCTGCAGACCTGTCTTGGGAATGACACCGCTGTAAGAAAGAGGTCCTCCAGCCTAGAGGGGACCTCTGCAGCCAGGACAGGATCGTGGCCTCTTGACCTGTCTGCACAGAGGGTGCCAAGCATGCCAGGCAGGGTGTCACTAAGAGCTCTAAGGTGAGGCTTGCTAGCAGGGACGAGCCGTGATGTCCGCCAGCTCCTCCAGAGCACTCCCTGGGCTGTCCTTGGGACCCAGCCTGCTCCAACCTGGGGTAAGTCCTGCCTGATTCTTTGGTCTCCAATGCTCTGGACCACAGGATCCCCCTCCCAGGCAGAGACCCACCCCGGTCCTGGAACCTCAGCCTGTAGCATCACCTCCTGAGTGACAGCCCCCACCCTCAGATGCACAGTGGCCATGATTCTTTTGTCTCAGGGTTACCTGTGTGCATCCGAGTCCCCAATTACCTGCGAACTCCTCCAGAGCTGTCAGCGTTGTCTGGAATCTCAGTGGCCAGAATAGGACCTGGTCCAGAGCTAAGAGACACATGGCAGGGAGGGGACCTTTTACAGTGGGTCCCTCGGGCTCTGTGACCCAGGTAAACACCCTTGACTTAGCTAAGCCTGGCAAAGGTTCTGCAAAGACCTAATTCATAGTATCACTGTAATGAGAGGTTAATTCGGGCTACACAGTGGCCTGGGAAGTAGCTAAGGCGTGCTGGCTGCTGTGGCAGGTACAGCCTTGAGTTCCGGCAGTTTTTCCTGCTTGAGTGACAACAGATGTGGTGGCAATTCTCTGTTAAGTAGTGACCCAGGTGCATCTTTCTTATGGCTCTGCCATCTCCACCTTGAAGCTTTCAAGGTCACTGAGGAAGGGGAAGAGCAGGAGGGTTGTATGGTTCAGATCTGGAAATGGTACCTACCATTTCCACTGGGTCCTATTGGATTGGATGCAGGCACATGGCCACATTCAGCTACATGGGAAACTGGGAATGTGATTCAACCGTGAGCCTCATGAGGGAAGAACTGGGTTGGGAGGAAGAGAGACCTGCTGTGCTGGGCTGTGGCCAGATCTTCTGGGGGGCGGGGTATGGGAGGAAGTCAGTCATCCATGGTGAGTCAGCATCTGCAGAAACCTCACACACAAAACTGGATCAAATGATTTCAGATGTCTGAATGATCAGAAATAAAAAGAAGTTAAACAATTGTTAAATTTTAAAAATGAGAATGTAGACACAGAAAAATATATTCTGAAAGTGGTCAGAGAGATAGGAAAAAAAGTCCAGTACAACTCCTAGAAATGAAAAATATACGAACTGAAATGGGAAATTCAATGGACGTGTTAGACAGACAGAGATTCAGTTTGGAGGGCAATTGGCAGACTGAGCGATGAAGCTGAAGCTATTCCTGGGATGTATAACACAGGACAGAAGAAAAACATGGAAAAATATGGAGTGGAGGTGAGAGAGAGGAGGAGGTTGGCGTGAGAAGAAAGAACACAAATCCGCTTGGAGTTCCTGAAGCTGGAAGAGAGCATGGGGTGAAAGTCATTATTCAAAGAGATGATGGCTGAGAAATTTTCAGAATTGCTAGAAGACATGAATTTCAGTTCAGACAGCACAAACAAGAAACTTTATTTTTGTTTTTTTTCTTAAGCCATAATTGGACCCATCATGGTGATGTAGAATAGGAAAAGGAAGGTTTTAAAAGAAGCCAGAGAGAAGAGACAAATCTTCTACAAATGCACGCATATTAGACTGAAGGCAGATGTCTCCAGTGAGAACAGAGGCCAGAAGCTTAGAAGTGTCACAGCATCGGGTATGAAAATATACAGTCAGTAACTGTCCACCCAGGGTCTCTACCTTTCAAGAAGATGAAGACATCTTCAGACAGAGCTCAGGGACTGGAGACCCTCACTGGGGCCATTTCTATAGGAAAATGATTCTGGAAGGAAGGTCCAAGAGACCAGTCCAGGAGAGCAAGGAAAGGGCTCCAGGTGCGGGAAGCTCTAAGCTCACGTTTACTTTATACAGCAATTATACTAATGTCTGATTGGGGACAAAATAGAGCAAGCCTCCAGGGTGCTGTGTCCCCTTGGTGGTTACTTTAATGCTATTTAGGGAAACCCTAAATCACGGGTTCTTTCAGAAATGCTTTCTGCTTTGCCGACTCTCCTCACACACACTTGGCCCACCTACGGGACCATCAGGCTCTGCCCCCAGAGCCCTGAAAACACCATCAGGCCCTGAACTCTGCAGCAGGGGAGAAATCCCAGGATGGGGTTCCCTCGGCCAGGTCTTCCCACGCCCCAGCCCAGTGGTTCTCACCTGGATCACCTGCAGGTGGGCTCCCCCCCGCCCAGAGCGTCTGATTCACCTGAAACTCTGCATTCTAACGAGTTTCGGGGGGCGGCGGCGGCCGGTCTTGGACCACAGCGTGAGAGTCAGTGCTGCAGCAGGGCAACGCCAGGCCCTGCCCTCGGCTGCGAGGTGACTGCCCTCCTCCAGGAAGCCGGCAGCCCTCCCGGCCAGGGCTGCGTCCCCCTCCCCTCTGCATTTCACCAGTTCCTGCCCAGAGCAGAGCAGCCGCTCCAGCAGGGAAGGGCTGACTCCAATAATCTTAAAGGATCTTGGGGTCTTCTCCCCAACAAGAAGTCACACATAGGTGCACGCGCATGTCCTCTTCCTCTCACCTTCCTTTCCTGGGCTTTGGTGGAAACTTTACCTGGCCTTTTAGTGAGAGGGCTTGAGTGCCGGCTGGGTCCAGGCTGGGTGCGGGACTCGGGCTGTGCTACGCCCTTTGTCCTGGGTAAGCAGGGCTCCCCTGGTTTTTTCTAAAGGTGGGATCATGGGTCCTGGAGACCCTCTCCAGACCCCAGCCTGCCCTCCTCCACTCTCTGCCTCAAAGGCCACGTCCCTTAGGGATTGATTCAGCGTCCTGACAAAGTCCTTCTTGTACCCTGCTCTGCTGAAGCTGTCAGCCTCCTGGCAGGGGAATTAAGTGGGACACCACGGACAATTGATCCCAGCAAGCTTAAGACATCCGTTCCAGGAGAAGGCCCCGCTGACAGGAGAGGCAGCTGCGCGGCCCCTGGCGAGACTCCTGCAGGCGCTGCTGCCGAGCCCCCTCCACATGGGGGCCTTGGGAGGGGCAGGGGACATGCTGGGTGTGTTGGGGGCACACCCACCCTTCCAGGAGGGACCTGGGGCCTGGGACTGCCCAAGAGGTAGCCAGAGGGCTCATGAGTTCAGGGGGCACCTGGGGGTACTCAGGTGGCGATTTATGAAGTCAGATTAAGGAGACTGATGGCCCGTCCTTCAGCCAAGAAACGAGTTCTGCTACAAACCTTTGAAGGGCACGAAGGCAGAGGAGAGAAGCTTGGTGAAGAGTGGCCCAGGAGAGTAATGAGGAATCGGGGGGTGAAACAGGGCCGGATGCCAGGAGAGAGCTCCTGACTGTCAACCTGCCGGTGCTGGAAGCTGGCCCGGCTGGGGGAGCTGGGGCCTGCTCCCCTGAATCATGGAGTCTGACGGACAGGTGTGGGAGGCCTACGTGGGAGGTGGGGTGGGACTCAGCCCAAGACCAGGAGTCCGCATCACACTGACTGAACAATTATCCCCTTCTCTCGGGGCCACCTGGTCCAGAGGCAGGTGAGGCCCAGCCTGTGGCCCCAACCTGCAGGGAGCATCTGCAGGCTGCCTGAGGGCCAGGCCAGCTGGGAGTGACAGTGGTCTGAAGAGGAAAGCCATCTGTGGAGAGGGCCCCAGCTCTGCCCAGTGACTGTCCTTAGGCTGTGTGTGGTGGCAGGAACCAAAAGATTCCAATGCCCGCTTGACAGGGCCCCCAGGCCACAGGTCCCTGGTGGGGCAGGGGTGTAGCCACCAAGCGGGCAGGTTCCAGAGCCCAGCTTTCTGCTTAGGATCGCTGAAGCAAATTCCATTTCTTTGGAGAACCCCAAAGCAAATTATGATGGGGGGCTCTGCGTCCTGTGCTGAACAACTTAGGGAAGTATCGAGGCCCCGGGAGGGCTGCCCCTCCCCATGTTGGGAAGACATTTCGTGGGATGCCCGAGACGCACTCCAGAGCTGGCCAGTCATGTGGCTCTCAGGGGGCGAGCTGCACCGTGGAACCCGCTCACAGCCACCTGAGTGGGAGCTTGAACTTTCCTCAACTACTGACCAGGCTGCTCAGCGTGCAGTTTCTTTCCCCCAGGCTGCAGATGCCAGCCCCTTGGGGCCTGTCCACCTGCTGAGTGATCAGAGGACAATTGCCTGGGCAAGCTTCTGCCGGAGGAAGCCACCTGTGACTCAGGTTCTGAGTCAGCGCCCAGCCCATGGGCACTGGCTGTGGGGGTGGGGCTGCCCTCCCTGGAGGATGGGGGACCCTGGGAGAGTGGGCCACAGAATGGCCCAGAATCATCATCATCCTGATTAAGTAGTTGGGGACAAGCTTGCAGCAGCTGCTCTGGTCTCTGTCTCCTTGGCCACTGTGCTGTGGCCGCCCTGGCTTGATGTCCAGGAGGCTCTGCCCCTGGGCCTGTCCCTCCCCATCTTCCCCCGGGTGCCCCACTTTGCCTAGGCCTCGCTGGGCTATTGGTATCTTTCCCTGGCAGAGGGCAGCCTCAGAAACGTCATCTATCCACTTGTGGGGGTTTTATTTCCCTTGAACTTGGCGCCTGATGGTCAGGAGGGAGCAGCAGGAGATGAGGCACAAGTGCCAACCCCCCTGGCCAGCCCCTGCTCACTTGTGTGAGCAGCCCCCGGTCTCGGCCCTAGAGTCCTGGGGCAACCTCGGCTCCCCAGGGCTCTGAGCAGACCTGGGCTGAAGCGCTTGGCTGCAGAGCGGGGAGCACAGCTCAGCCCCTCGGTTCCTCTTCAGGGAAGGAGGCTTTGGGGGAGGTAATAAAAAACCAGGGGAGGGCGGCAGCGGCCCGCCGCCAAACAAGGTTTCTCATTAGTTTGAAAGGTGGCCTCGGAGCCTGGACTGAAGGAAGGAAATGGATTGAGTCCTGATTAAGTAGTCGGACTCAGAGGCCTGCTGCTGGCCTCCGTCCTGACCTTCACAGAGGCTCTGCCCAGTCTGGGCCGCTTTAGAATTCCCGGCCAGCCTCCCCCACAAGACCAGGGCTGCCCAGTCAGCCTTTGGGCCTCCACACCCCTCCGTGCCCCGGCTTGGCCGAAGGACAGTGAGAGCGGGACCCTGGTTGGAGGGGCTGGGTCTGCTCCTGTGGTGGCAGCGGCCTTGAACTGGTTGGTGTCTTTGTTTCTGGGGACCGTGGTGTCCTGGTTTTAGGTGGCCATCATCATCCTGCATAGAGCAACTCCCAGGATGCTCAGTTGAGCTGGGGGGGGTCTCCTGGCAGGCCCTGGGACCCCTGCTGCTGCAGTGCCTGACCTGGTCATCTGATGAGAGAGGCAGTCCTGGCCATCTGAGCCCAGGATGGTCATCTCCTGGAGGACGGAGCATGACCACACGCTCTCCCAGAGGGTGCCATCCAGCTCTGAGGTGGGCGGAGCAATTGCTCAGCCTGGGAACTTCTTCCTGGATTAAGACCCTGAAACACAGAAGACACAAGGCACTGAAGTTGCTCAGACATGAGCATGCAGCCTCTGCGGCCGCACGGGACTGATGGGGCCAGTTGTCCCTGTCTTCTGAACACAACAGAAGATTCCTGGGCTGAGGTACAACGTGTTAGTGGCATTTCCATCACCTGGCTGGCAGGAGCACCTGCGGTCCCCTGGGGACCACCGAGGCTGTCATTAGGAAAGGCCTACGGGCTCCTAAATTAGTGACACGAGGCCTCTCCCTGTCCTGCGCTCCCAGTCGCCTGTGGCCCTGGGCCTGTTTCTCTTGACTTTCAATGCCACTCAGTGCCACCTGCAGGCAGAAGCCCACCTGGGCTCTGCTGAGTGCTCAGGGCCTGAGAACTTTGCCTGTTAACTGTTTCTGTCACTGTAAGTTGGACAGCACCTCTCCTGGCCCCGATGCCCCAAGTCGACACCCCAGGCTCTACGGCAAGTGCCAGGGCAAGTGACTGGACCCCTCCAGCCCTCGGCCCACTCTGCCAGGCTTCTCTACAAATGCTAGGCTGCCACAGTACCTGGGGTGGGGGCTGTTGTCCCCTGTCCCCCACCTGGAGGAAGAAAGAAAATGGATGCCCTCACCCTCCCACACTCCCTGAGCCTTCTCAGATGACCCCTACTGATTTTCTAAGAGGCACTCATGGCATTTCCTCCTCCAGGAAGCCCTCCCTGAGCAGCAAATTGTCCCCCCCCCCATAATGTCTTTGCTTGTTTGCGACCCTCTGCTCCTAATGTCCTGTTTCCCTGGAATGCAACAAGCACTGCCCCAAATCCTGGCCCACGGAACTGGCCGACCCTGTCCTCCCTGAGGCCCTTGTTGCAGGACAGCAGCGGACTCTATCTGTATGGAGTCCCCCAAACATCAGGCATCCATCCAGAAATGACTGGTGTGGCCATGCTGGTGCCAGCTGGGGCCCTGAAGCCAGGTGGCCAGCCTGGGGGGCTCTCAGATGCTATGCCCCTTGGCTCCCGGGACCTGCTCTGCTGTCGCCCTCCTCAGGGACCAGCTGTCCTGCCAGGAGGTCATGAAAGAGCCACGCCGGGCTCTCTGCTCAGGGCAGTGAGCGCTGAGGCCTAACTGTGCAGCTGGCAGCCCTTTCTCCCACATCCTGTTCACCTGCCGGAAAGGCCTATCATGTGGGTTCTGTGGTGTGTGTCCTCCAGAGCCCGGGGAGGACCCCACAGGGCCAGGGTGAGGATCCCTCTGGAATCCTCTCAAGTGCTTGGGCAAGTGAACCCCGGAGTCTGTGAGGTGGAGATGACAGAGACCAGATGGCCCTCGTCAGGGTGAGGACAAGGGTCACCTGTGCCCTGAACACTACCCTCTTCCCTGACGGTGTCCCTTCTCCTCATGAGGACGGGGCAGGGCGGGGAGTGGGCTGGTTATGAAATGTCATGCTGGGGAAACTTTTCTACTTCTTACCTTACATAAGCCTCAGCCATGTGTTCCCTGGAGACACCGTGTTCCCTGTTCCCACGCGGCAGGAGCGGGGAAGGCAGGACACGTGCTCCTTCTGAAGTGAGGCTGCTCTGTGGCGTCTCCTCGTTACCCTTGGCCTCAAGGCCCGGCAGTGGGGGCGCTCACAGCCCTGGGGGCGCTCACAGCCCTGGGGGCTCTGCAGAGTCAGGCCGTGCCAGGCTCAGCCGTCCTGGGGTGCCACTTGGCCGTGCAGCCTGGTCCTCTGCCGGTGGCAGAGCCGGTGCAGTTTCCTGTCGCCATGCCCCCCCCAGTTCTCAGACATGCCACCTGCGCAAATCCAACCCTCTCCACAGACTTGAGAAACAGGGATTTGAGATCAAGGGGACCTGGGCCACAGGACACTTGCTAGAAGCAGAGGTGACACAGGAAGCTGTTGCAGTGTTGTGGCGCTTCCCTGTGGCCTGGTGGGGACTTCGTGGCTCAGCCTGGGTGACACACGCAGCATCGCATCTGGCCTGGTGGACAGGTGTTGGGCTTCCCTCTGGAGGCCAGTTTGGGTGTAGAGGTGGCGGAGAGGATCAGAGGACTCCGGCTGATGAGGAGGCCCCAGGCCAGGGTTTTGGATCAGTCAGTTCACACCAGAGGAGGTTGTGGCGGACCCCAGGGGCCTCCCAGGACTTCACTGCAGGGGAGGCATCTCTGGGCCTTTCTGCGGGGTGGTGCCTGCAGGCCTGTCCCTCCCTGTGCTCAGTCTCGCTCTCCACCCTGCAGGCTGACTTCCCCAGCAGCGCTGTTCCTTTGTCCCATGGCCTTGTCCTGTGTGTGCCTTAGGTTGTCCCTCAGCTGGGCCTCCAACTTCCAAAGCTCAGCACTGTCCACCTGACACCTCAGCCTTTCCAAATTCCCAGGACAGGAATCCCAGTAGCCGTGGTCTCTGGGATGGGAGAAGGGAGGAGACCTTGTGTCACTGGCTACAGAACAAGGCCGCTCTGGACGGTGCCTGTGTGCGTCTCCACCACAGCGAGAAGATGCGCCAACTATTTGTTGACTGCAGCTGCAGAAGCCCACGAGGGGCAGAGGCCCTGTGTGGCAGTCCCAGGAAATTTCACGAAGAGGAGTTAGCCCAAGGTCATGGGCTTCTGAAGGACTTGTATGAATCCCGAGCACCTGGCCCCGGACCTGGCCAGGGGAGATTAGGACAGATGGAGTGAACCAGCATGTGAATGATGGCTTGGTTGTGAGGCCTGCACTGGACTCAGTTGGGAAGGTGGGGTGGACAGGGCCTGGGGCAGGACACCCAGCAGGCTGTAGGGCTAAGCCAATAGGTAGCAACCAGGGAGACCTTGGGCCCTTTGATCAGTAATTCCACTTCTGGGGATTTCTTCCATGAAATGACCTGCCCAAACACACAAAGATATTTAGTCCAGAGGGGAGTAAGTGGGATTAAAGCATTATAACCAGGGGGCATTTCCCCAGTGAGGCCAGGAAGCGGTAGAGAGCAGAGGCTGTCTATAGGGCCTGGTGGGAAAAGTCTGAGAGGCCCTGTGTGCGCTGCATGTGCCAGAAAAGACAAGCGGGGGTGGGGGTGTGGGGGGTGGGGCAAGAACACCCTGCAGGGCCGAGCTGGGGGGCGAGGAAGGAAAGCCGGCTTTTAAGCCTTTTGCTTTGTCCTTTGTATGCCTCTGTTTAAGAAGCAGGTCTTAAAAATGGAAACTAACAACAACAAGGAGTGATCCGCACCTTTCTGGCAGGAAGGAACAGGCTGCTTGTGAGTGGAGTGAGAAGTCTTAATGGTAAACCTATTCTCCCCAAACACGGAGGCAGGTGACCTTGGTGTAGATCAGGGCCCAGGCTGAGGCTCCGGAGGGGGTTGGCCACACCGGCAGGCCTGGGGCTTGGCCTCCAGCACCAGGGGCAGCAGGGCCGAGCCAGGGCCGACACAGGCCCAGGCTGAGAGCGGGAGGGAGGGCCAGGCAGGGTCAGGGCCACGGTGAGCTCACTGGGATGCGGGGCGCCCAGACCCCGTACGGCAATGGAAAGACCTGCAGCAGCACCAACAGCCAGAAGTTAATAATGTTAATCATGTAAGGACGCAGGCGTCCGTGGCGCACTTCCTGGCCAGGCCCCTTCTGCCTCATCTCACTGAACCTTCCCTCTGAAGTCGTGGGCCATGAGCACTGTTGGGATCCCATCTGACTGAAGCTGAGTTCAAGCACGTGGAGTGGCTTGTCCCAGTGTCACGGCTGGCAAGTAGAAGAGGGGGGCTGTGGGGTAGTTCTGTCCACGCTGCTCTCCGGGCTGGTGGGGAGCACCAGGCTCAGGAAACAGCAGGGCCTCTCCCTGGTTCTGGGCCTGGGTGGGTGCACAGGGCTTGGCGAGGGAAGAGGGGCTTGTGCCTGCCTCATCCCTGGGAACCCAGAGCAGGACAGAGCCTGGACACCGGCTCTGGCTGGAGATGGCCATGGTGACTCCCCGCCGAGGCCTGCTGGCCTGAGCTCTAAGAGAAGGTCCTGCCTGCACAGTGGCCTGGAGGGTGGGCTCTGCAGAAAGATTTGCTGTTTCCTCTAAAGGGTTCTGGTGAACTTGACCTCTGTTTTGGAGAACAGAGGGGTCTGAGGAAGCAAAGGAGGGGGCTGCTGTTCTCTCCTGTGAAACTGACCCCCCTCAGCCCAGGCCAGCGGTGACTGCAGATGTTTCCCTTCCTGTGCAGCAGCTGAGATCACCGAGCAGGGCTTGCAAAGGCTGGTTGGAGGCAGAGCTGGGCACCACTCTCTGTAGCTGGGCCTTCGCTGGGATGGGTTCAGGGCTGGGCTGGCAGGGCGGGGGTGGATTTGGAAGAATCGGGTGAATTCGTGGTTTTTAATAACAGTAACTGAAAAGCAAGACAAGCCTGGGTTTGTCTCATTCTTCAGGGTGTCAGCAAGCTCCTGTGCCAGCACTCGGGGACAGTGCCCCCCTCCCTCTGCTCAGGTGCCCCCCCAGAGATGCTCAAGTAGGGCAAGCAGAACACTTAGTATTCAGTTTTTTTTTTTTTTGATGGATTTGGTTGGATTTAACATATTTAATGAACATTGCTTGAGTAGCTATTGCAATCTCATATATCCTAAAATGCCTAGAGTTTTGTATATATCACTTCTCTGAGGCCCACCACAAAGCCTGGGAGATCATTATCCCCCCCTGACAATGAGGACACGGAGGTGACCATGCAAGGTCTTATCTTGGGTACTGCCCGGCTGGGATGCTGCCCAGTCTGGTTCTCCCAGCCCAGAAGCCATCTCAGCCACAGCTCACGAGGAGCCAGGGACAAGAGCACGCTGTTAGACCTCCCTTCTTCTGCCATGTGTCACATCTGTCCCAAGTTATGACTTCTCTGTGACCAGTCTAGACAAGAATGCGCCTGGGGAAGTCTGAGGCCAGTCCTTCTCCTGGAGCTCCTCTCCTTGTGTCCCCAGCACTACCGCCCTCCCAGGGCCACGCAGATCTCTGCTACAGACCCCAGACCTGCCTTCCCCAGAGCCTCCCAGCTCCGGGGAGGGAGAAATGAGCTCCAATCCTGAGTCTGGGCTTCCTGGCCACAGGAACCTGGGGAAAGTGGCTTCTCTCCTCTGTGCCTTGGTTTCCTCACCTGTCAAATGTGGGCAAGACGATCACTGAATGAATGAAATGATGCAGTTAAAGAGCCTGGCGGGGTGCCCAGCACCCTGGAAGTGCTTAGTGACCATATGGCCTTGTTGCCACCCGACTCCTCTAGGCCTCTTCTCTAGGCTGGAGCTAGGGAGCTGGGCAGCCTGTGAACCAGGACCCCAGGAGGCAGAGAGGACAGGCATCGCCTGCTCCTGACCCAAGGATGTGTGGTGACACGGGACCAACCTCTTAGACCCAGCCCTAGTCCCCACAGCCTCCTTCCCTATTCTGCCCAGTGCCAAGCCCTCAGGGTGCCACACCAGGATGCTGCCATCCCTACCCTCACCAGCCCCTGGTTCTGGATCCTGTGGCTTTGAAAGATGTGCCCCTCCCGTTGGCCCAGGGGCCCCTCACCTGAGGTTTAGAATAATGAGTGTGAGCCAGCCTGGCTGTCGGTCATGCTGGGGACCCTTGCGCGGGTGTGTGTGTGTGTGTGGGGGGAGGGGGACTGGCTTCAGGGTTCGGAATCAGTCAGTGGCAGCTCTCTGATTGGACAACATGTCCTTGTTCCACTGTCCAAGCCAAAGCTGGGGGGCTGTGAGCACAAGGTGAGACCTTCCTGTTGGAAGCAGACAGCACCTACCTACTCATAGTCGGTCACCTCAGCTCTGCCCCTTCAGGTTCAGAAGCAGGGACAGTGTGGTGGACACTCATTCATTTTGGCCTTTGGAAAGGGGTGTGGACCCCCTCCCCGGCTGGGTGTCTCTGTCGTGTGAGTCTGGATAGGTTGTGCAGGGAGAGTATTTCCTCTAAGGAGGCTGAAAACCCTGGAGACCCCTCCCCTGCCTCCCCTGCCTCTGGGGCAGAGTGCACGGGGACTTGAACCAGAGGCTCAGGGGGCCCTTCTCCCGCTCGCTCTGTGGCTGCAGCTGTCCTGATTCCCAGGCCTGGCTCCTGCTGCAGAGGCCACGTGGTTGCCTTGCGGGCTCCAAGGCTCACTGGGGGCAAGTTCTGGTGGGCCACTCTGTGCCACAGTGGGGACAGCTCCCTGTCACAGCGGGCCACTGGTTCTGGGAGCTCCTGCCCGCCCAACCGAGGCCCTCTCACAATCCTTTATCGCCCATTTCCACAAAGTCATCTTCTGTGCTTATGACGAAGAGCACGACCCCTGGGCTCGTCCCCCAGCGCTGGCCCTTCCTGCCCTTCCCAACCTGAGGTGGGGCTCGGCTGTTGAGGAACATTTATGGGCTTCCTCCAGGGGCCAGCCCTGCCCGCCCTTCTGCCGGGGCCCTTTGTTCCCACAGGCCTCTGCGTGGCCTCAGCAAGTCCTTGCTGTGTGTGGGCAGAGGGTGGCCCTCCTGAGGGATCCCCTCCAGCATTCCCCTGGGGCAGAGGGCAGGGAGAACCTGTCTTCCTGAAGTGGAGAGGGGACACTGCGCGGGGCAGGATGTGGCCTCTGAGAGCCAGAGCTCAGGACTTGTCTTTCTTGGGAAAGGGGAGGGAGGTGTGGGCTGCTGGAGATGGCGCTGGGTCAGCCGGGAGCTGGGAAGGAGGAAAGAACTTCCCGGGGACAGACAGACAGAGGGACCCCACAGGGACACGTCTTCACTCTTTAACTGAGTAGGTGACGTACGCAGCCAGGAATGCCGAGTGCAGAGTGAGCTCGTCTCCGTGGACGCCTCCATTAACCGCCCGTGTGCCCACCTCCTCCCGACTCACCAGGCGCAACAGCCCCAGGTGGTATCAGCCCCTTACCCAGCCCCTTGTCCGAGGCCACTGGCTCTTTCTGCTCATTGTTCCCAGGACAGCCGCTTCAGTCAGCTTTGTGATCGTCTTGGGGGCACCTGGGGACTCCCCTCTGGAGTATGTACTGAGGTGGGGCTGCCAGGTCTCTGGGTGGCGTGGTCCATGGCACAGATAATGCCACCATGGCTGCCACTGCGCCCAGACACACGCGGTCAGTATGTGCCCGTGGGAGCACCGGAGGATGGCTATGGGTCTATTTCCCTTGGAACACGTTCAACCGGAACATGGCCCTTGAACCCACAGGTAAGGCGTGCGCTGTACCAGGGTTTATTTTTTTCATGGCACACTTTATATTTACTTTCCTGTTGTCACCACAGCCGTCTTTGGGCCAAAGGGCATTGAAAGGGGACATGTACTTCTGAGGCAGCGTGGCCAGGGCGACCCCCAGGAGACCCCCAGGGTGAGCGTGGAGTGGAGCTGCCCCACCCCGCCGGAAGTTTCCCTCCTCTGCCAACCTTGGGTTCAGGCCTTCCCATTGTTGAGGAAATTAATAATTTCTCTGTGGAAACCAAGGCTCAGGGAGCTTAAGGGCCTGCCTTAGATCACACAGCCAATGAGAGGAGGCCAAGGTAAACGCTACCTTAGTGTGTGGCACTCAGAAAAGAGACACCTAACGTCAGAGGCCTGGGCCTCTATTGATGGTGGGGAGGAACAGTGACACCCCAAACCTTGCTCAGCAGAGCCAGGCCAGCCACCAGGCCTCTCTGCTTCATTCACAAGTGCCCCAGGTCTCCACCCTGGGATTCTATGGGCAGCGAGCAGCCAGCCCTCTGTGAGGAGCTGTGTGCTGTGGGGCCTCCTGTCTATCCCTCCTGCTGTGAAGCCCCCAGGACACATCTGTTCCCAAGAAGCAGTTCCTGCCAGTCTTCCCTCTACCCCTGCGGGGGGAACTTAGGGTCCCCAGGGCTTCACAGCTGCTGCCCGTGGCTTCACCTCCCCAGCTTCCCAGGGCTGCCCTCCTGCAGACGCCCCTGCTCCCGGGGCCTCAGGAGAAAATCCAAGGTTGTCTCCTCTAGGGTCCTGCACCTGCCCGCTCCCCAGAGCACTCCCGACAGGTGCCTGCTGGCCCTTCCCTGCACATGCTCATCCGTGTGTGACTGTGTAACGGTGGCACGGGCCTGTCTCCCTGCCTGGAGGGCTCCCTGAGGACCCGCTCCAACAGCGTCTCTTCAACTCGCCACTGCGCCTGCCAATCAGCCTCTGGCAGAGGCTGCCCAGGGCTGCTGCCTCCCACCCGCAGGACAAGTCCCTGGAACAGTCTCTGTGGGGCAGCAGTGTGGCCTTGTCCGCAGTCAGCTCCTCAAGGCCACAGGCAAGTTGTGCTTCATCTTGGTGTCTTGATGCCTACTTGAGCCTGGCCTGCGGCAGAGGGGACTGAGAGCTGGGCACAGGTCACCGAGATCCGGTGGAGAGACAGCCACCGTCACTAACGTCTTTTGGCAGAGATGGGTGGGATGACATCCAGGGTTCAGGACTCCTAGGACGCCCCACGTCCACCAATAGAGGGCAGCAACAGGAGGTTGGGGTGTCGTGGGGGTGCTGGCAAGAGCTGGGCTCCAGGTGAGGCCAGTTGGGGGCCGTCAGGAAGCTTCTCAGAGACTCAGTTCCTGGTGGAGATGGAGGACAGGGTAAGAGGCTTATCTCTAGACTTCCTGGGGGACCCCGTGAAGCACCGTGTGGAGAAAACACTGTCTACATGGAGACCAGGCCGGCGGCATCTCCACTGCAACCAGCGGCCCTGCACCAACAGCGGCCCAGCCCCCCTCGGCTGTAGGGGAAGGGAGCTGGGAATGTGGCCGGCCTCGAGGACGCGGTGCTGAGTGAAATTGGCCGGTGACGACACATACCGTGTGGCTCTGCTTCGTGAGGTGCTGGAGGAGTCACAATCACTGAGCCAGCCAGGGGCCAGGGCAGGGACTAGCAGCTAATACGGGAGGCTGAGAAAGTTCTAGCAGGTGGATGGTGGGCTTGGTTGGCCCACACTGGGAATGTACCCAACACCACTGAGCTGGATGCTTAAAAAATGATTGAGATGAGCCAGGTGCCGTGGTGCGCACCTGTAAGCCCAGCAGCTTGGGAGGCTGAGGCAGGAGGATCGCGAGTTCAAAGCCAGCCTCAGCAATGGTGAGGCCCTAAGCAACTCAGTGAGATTCTGTCTCTAAAAAAAAAAAAAATACAAAATGGGGCTGGGGATGTGGCTCAGTGGTTGAGTGCCCCTGAGTTCAATCCCCAGCACCCCCCCAATAAATAAATAAATAAATAAATAAAATGTTTGAGATGGTAAATTTCTGTTATGTACATTTTACCACAATTAAAAAATGTGTGATGGCCATTTAGGAATGGAAGACAAGGGATGGACACATATAAAAGGGTGTGTGTGTCCTCTGTATAGGTGACAAGTAAAATCAAGGGGAGGGAGAAGTTTTAAGGGAGGCTGCCAGCCTCTGGGTCAGTGTCCTTCACGAAGAGCTGATATTGCTGGTAACATTTTGAAAGGTCAAATCCAATGGGAAGTTCAGCCCACCGCCTAAATGCATGATAATGGCAATTTAAAAATTAATTACAAGGTCTCTCCTATGACACCCGGGTGCCAGCTCGTTGGTGCAGAGCCGGGAGGGCCAGTCATGCTCAAAGGTGCCAGTGCTCTCAGAAGGCTTTTCGCTGTCCCTTCTATTCTCAGGAGCTGGCTAAGTGCTGCTTTGTGCCATTGTCCCAGACAACAATGGGCTTTGAAATGAAAGATGTTCCAGCCGGACACAAAGGAGACACCTTTCTGATTCTAAGCCCAGTGGGGAATAAAGGCGCTACTTAGCTGAGGGCAGGGGAAGAGCTTCCAGGAAGGGAGCCTCACCCCCCACCCCCACCAGGTCCACAAGTCCACAATCACCTTGGAACTTCCCGAGCTGTATGGAGATATGGAGATGAGCGTCAGCTGACAGTGCACAGGCCGGGAGGAAGGCAGGATGGAGCCCCAGCTCCGGAGCCCTGCTAGAGCTCATCTGACCACGCTCTCCCAACCCCTCTGGGGGTTGGGCACCATCCACATGAGCAACACAGTGTTTGGGAGGCTGAAGAAGTGCACTCAAGCTCTTCAGCAGTAACAGGAAAAGCCTGGATGGATTCGGTGCTCGCTCTGCCTGATTCTTTTATCATGGTGCCTGTCCCTTGCCTAGGGAGCCAACGCTTGGATTCTATTCCAAGTTTATATCTAGGAGGCCTTGGGTCTTGTGAAAATGGGTATAATTTCTGAATCAGTCAGTATGGCTGGGTTTTGCTGCAGTAACAAATAATGCATTCATGCTACATTCAGTGCTGGCTAACTGGGGACCCTGATTCATGTCTCCTCCTTTGGGGACCCAGGGCTTGGGGCAGGACTTATACTGGAGAGGCTTTATTCATATGTATTGAGTGGCTTGGCCACAGCTAGAGTCCAAGGGTGGGAAGCGCTGCTTTGCTGTGGTCCTGGGAGGAGGGTATCCAGGTGTATTTGGTAAGAGTTCTCCCGCCCACCTGGGAGTGTCTCTGCTTGCCTCTAGGTTGTCATCAGGATGCAGAGAGAACTGTGGATGGCGCACTTTGAAAAACATCAAGCCCTGTACAGATGTAAATTACACATGTAAGACACAACCGCAAAACCCTGATGCATTATCATTGTTGCTACTGAGACTAATAATCCTTCCTGTCTCTCACATCACTCCAAGAGTTAGCTGTGGCCCTCCATCAGCCCAAAGTCCTGGGTGGTGTCCCCTCCCTGCCAGGATAGAGGACTCAGGGCTGACCCCTCCCTGCGGCCACCCTCTTTGCTTTTGATTTCTGTGTGCCCACAGCCATTAGATTTTTCCCTCCCTCTGCTGAAGCTTCTATCATTATCCAACCCCGAAGCCACAGAAGCATCAGAATTTTAATAGACTTGGGCCCCAGAGCCTGCTAGCAACACATTATGATGCACAGCTACAGATGGAAAGTTCTGGGTCTTTAAGCTGCAACATGAACACTGCAATTTTGAAACTGTTCTGTGGGACCTCAGAACCCTGCTGAGGTAGGTGACTAGGTGACTTGGGAAAACAAGCAGCTGTGGGTGCCCACCTACTTGGTTCTGTTTTGCTGTCCCTGGGCCTGTCCCAAGGTTGTCAGAGCTTGGATACCAAGACTTCTTTAAAAAAAAAAAAAAAAAGGAAAATTCATCCTATAAGATTGTTACAACCTCTGAAAGTCTCCAGATGTCTGTCACTGAGTTTATACTTCCCAAAGTGTCTCTCAGCCATTTCCCCTTCCCTTGGCACCTTTTTTTCCTTGCTTTCTGATATCTTCTAATATTCCTCGTTGCTCTCCCAGCCCCAGCTCTCTCTGACTCTCTGACTCTCTCTCTCTCTCTCTCTCTCTCTCTCTCTCTCTCTCTCTCTCGCACACCCTTTTCACCCTGTCTTCTTTCTGCACCTCTCCTCTGACAGGAGGTGCAGCGTAATGCCATTCTAGGAACACACCTTTGGTCTCAGGCAGCCCCGAGTTCAGCTCCTGGCCCTTGCGGGCTGTGTGCTCTCTGGCCATTCCTTAACCTCTCTGAGCCTACTTTCCTCTTCATAGCATGGGAAGGCAGCTCCCTGGGGACGGTTTGCAAGGGCCTGGTGTGTGACTGCTTCAGTTCCGCACTCTGCCCCCTTCTCCCGAGGGCAGCCCTGGCTCCGACCGGTGCCCCCTCCTCTGGGCTCCCCCAGTCCCCTTGCATCCCCTGCCCAGGAGCTGCTGTGTCAATGGCACAAGTGACTTTGCCCTGCAGTCTCCCTCTTTGGGGCGCCAGGTACCTCTGCTCAATGCAAAGGGAGCAAGAGGATGGGCTGGAGCCCAGGTGGGTGAGGAGCTGGGGACCCGGCGGAGGAGCGGCGGGGAAGGCCCCTCTGCTCCCACTGAACTGCCTGGAGTCCAGTCTGCGACGTCATCGGCTGGGCGCTCAGGAGCGCCACTCCCCTCCCAAGTGCCCTGTCTGCTGGGCGTCGCAGTCACGTCGGCCAGGTCCTCTCCCTGGGCCCCCAGCGCCCCGGGCCCCGCCGCCCTCCAGGCTCCGGTCTTCGCAGCGTCTCCGGGGCCGCTTTCCCTGAGCCCCACGGGGGCATCTGGATGGTCCCTGGCCACCTCACACCTCTGCAGGGTGCGCTCAGGCCTCCCGGCCTCCCCTGGGGC